TTGAAAACAGAATAGTGGTGAAAAACCTGCTGCATGCACTGGGCTGAGGATGGAAAGGCTGATTTGTCTCTCATGTTTCTACAAACTGGAAAAGCTGCCAGGATTTCACCATTATGTCAGTCCAAGCACAGGACAGCTGAGTGGAGGTTGTTTTTTACAGGGGAGGCTTTTAAAATATTTTAACAGAGCAAATAAAGATTATAGATTAGATAATCACTGGAAGTCAGCAAGTTTGGGTTTTTTCTTCCCGTCACGCTCAGTACCACCAGGATTTGGTCCCTATGTATGAAAATAGATGATTTTGCCAGACAGTTACAGCAAATTGTACATTCTTCAAGTATGTATATGAGGAAGATGAAGGCTGCCCAGAGAAGCTGTGGCTGCCCCATCCCTGGCAGTGTTCAAGGCCAGGTTGGACACAGGGGCTTGGAGCAAGCTGCTCTAGTGGAAGGTGTCCCTGCCTGTGGCAGGGTTTAGAACTGGATGAGCTCTAAGGTCCAGGCTGTGATTCTATGATAACTTTTCCAAGTCAATGAACAGATAATACATGACAGATTTTCCTAGTGGTCCTTGGAATAACTGCAGAAAGTGGCCTTTGCTTGCTATGCTGTTGGCTTGCCCTTGATGGAAGAAGAGCTCTAGGTATTTTGGGGAACAGGGAAAGAAAGAGCATTTGCATTTAAATTGTGTATTATGTATGTATGTCTATAGAAGACTGAAATCTAAACAGCTGGGAACAGTGGGGTTAACAGAATCTTTAGTACTCAGTTCTGTCTCCCTGACTTTCATTAGCTGGCTCCCCCTTTCTACTCCTGTAAACGTCTGTGCAGGGAAGATGCAGTAGTTTGTCTACCTTTTGAGAGTGTCCTAGCAGGTATGCTGAGGTTTTGACCCAAAGGCAGTGGTTATGCTGAATAACTTTTGCCACGTGGGGCTCTACCTGTCTAACAAAGTGGGGTTGACTGAACTGTGTACACTGAAGAGAAATGAAAGAACCCCCCTTGCACTAGCTGGAGACATCATTAACGTTAACTGTGCTACCCATGTAACAGAGTTGTTTGTTTAAGCTGACTACAGGACAATGAAGTTTTCTAAGTGGACCATTTCCATTGGCACATCCAGGACTGCACCAGGACTGTGTGTGCTCAGGTGGCTTGATGAGAATTCTGCAAGTGTGGCAGACAGAAACACCTCGTATTTGCAGGCTCCTCTCTCGAGCAAACCTCATTTTATGTTTGTCTCTCAGGATTTATTCCCTCTGTAACACTCTGCTCCATCTCCATAGAGCTCCACAGCATGGAATGTACCATTACCTGGTGTTTATGATCTTGGCATGAACTCAGAATAGTAAGAAAAGACACAAGAGTAGCTGTGCAAGCATGAGAGACAGAACAAAGTGCAAGTTTCTACCTGTTTTCAGGACTCCAGTTAATCTGCCTTCTCCCCCAGTGTTTATTTCTCCCAAAGGAGGTTTCTTCTTCTCTTCCTGATGGCAACTGGTTTAACTGCTTTCTGAATCACTTCCTTTCTCTGACTCTACAGCACATCAAGAGCAGTGACCAGCAATCCCTGGCTTGAGATTCCCAAGGGAAATCCCACAAACTACTTCTAAAGGGCCTGTGAAAAGTAAATGGAAAACCAGGTCTACCATCTGCATGCTTACACCTGCTAGTGTGGGGTCTATATTGCCACTGGGCTTTCTTTTTACAGGGAGCTTTTTCAGATCCAGAATAAAAGGTTGGAAACTACTGACCAAAATGGCCAACTTTAACTCACATAAACGGCTAAAATGTGACTAAATTACAGTAACAACCAGAGACTGGCACAGGCAGACCTCATTTCATGATTTCTATGATAATTCTGTGCAACCCTGCTGAAGAATTTAAATCACAAACTGAAAGGCCTCCTGCTGACTGCCCTGATCACAGAATACCAATTATTTCAAACTGCAGCCATAAATAAAACCACCAAATTCCCATTTGCTTGCTTGCTACCAGAGGTCCTGATTCAGTTCCTTCAGACTTACACTGTGCTCCCTTGCATCTTCTCTTTTCTTTCAGTTAATAAACAAGTCCCTCCGGTTTATTTACAGGAGGTCGAAAGTCTTTTTTCCTTACAGGTAATTTGAAGAAGGCAAAACAAAAAGAAGAGCAAGGACACAGCTCCTGCAGAGATCATGATTAAAAACCCCACCTACAAACCACCACCAAACACACACAGAGAACTACAAAAGGAACAGATTGTTAAGACCTACTGCACCTTTTAGGGGGTTTGCTCTATCTTCACCCTGCATACAACTCAGTCTTCCTTCTCCAGCAGGCAGCCTAGATAGCTCTGGAATTCACTGCTTCAGTTATATCCCTTAACAATTTGAGATGTTAGTTACACCCTTGGGTCAGTGACGCCTGAACCATCCTTCTTTACCTATTTCTAGTTCCTTGTAATTCAGATTAAACACTAGACCAATGCTATGTTATCAATAAAGAGTGCTCCCTCACTCCTGCAGGATGTCTGAATGGGACTAAGTTTCTTGTCAATATGTCCATTCAAACACTGTCAATGTTACATCTTACCAGCCTAAAATTCAGACATGGAGGAATTCACCTTTTCTACTGTACATTATTGCTTTCCACCAACAGCAGGGGATGCTTAGGTTGGAAAGCTCAACTTGACTATTAAACCTTTCAGCAGTGAGAAAGCTCCTTTAGCTCATATTTTCTCCCTTTCCCAGCATAAACAAACCCATCACCCATAATCTTGCTCCAACATGTCACCTATTTTGCTACAGGCTGCTCTATAGGGTTTAAACAAGCTCAAGGTAGTAAGCTTATTTAAATGAACTTGTCTTCTCTTGCCACACAGTTCCCTTCATCATTAATTTCCGTTCAGCAAACATGCATCTTGCAGTAAGGAACAGCATAAAGGTCCCTGAGCTAACACAGAGTGGAGCTGGTCAGTCCCCAAAAGCATGATGATATAACAGCAACACCACCTGTAGTGTGCTGAGCATCTTTCCACAGGGATCGTATGGTGGACATTAGAAGAAGGTGGAGACACACAGCACAGTTACCCCCACATCATAAGCTGTGACTAACAGGCTGTGGTAACCAGCATTAAACTTGTTCCTTGCAAATTAAAGGTAAAATTTAGCTTAATCTCTCTCCCTGTGGTGTATGCTACCATCACTTAGCATTTGCAGAGGGCTAAAAGCACGTGGCGAGTTGCTGTGAGTCAGCTGAGACAGGACCTGGCCCTTCAGTCAAACACATTCAAACCTACCTAAAACCTTAAATAACTCCACTGCAAGTTCTGTGCTGCTCTGCTCATCCAACAACTGCTCGCCACACATACATCTCTCCTATGAGTTTCCTTCTGGCTTTTTAATCCACTTTCCTTCATGCTACTATTAAGCCTTGATTTACATCCTACACTTCACATCTCAGTCCTATTGCCATTTCTTCTGCCTATCTAGTCCTTTTATCCTGGCTGTCCCCCTCAGTGCTTTCAGTAACTCATGAGGAGGCCCTGTCGCTATGCTAGTTTCCATGCTAACTACTAATGACCATTTCCATAGTATCCAGGGAATGACTCCCTCTGGCCTTCTGGAGTAGTGAAGGCACAAAAACTTCACTGACTTGTAGCTTCTTCCTACCTGGGCAGTTGTTGGAAAAGCCCTTTCTGGGATCCAGATTCTCTCTTTGCTAATGGCTCTCAACTCCTAACATACACTGCTGCAGCAAGTCACCTGTAAGCAGAACACAAATAACATGTCTTCCTTCTCATTTTTAACTCATAGTTTGGTTTGCTTTCTATTTTCTTTTCTTCTAGAAAATTGTTTGTGTTTCTTAGAGGCAAAAGGAAAAAACAGCCAAAAAACCCCAAACTTCCCCAATTACAACTAGTAGTTTTGTTTCATGAGATGCCAGGCATCCATCTACAGCCCCAATAGGAACTAAAGGGGATTTCCCCATCCCTGGCAGTGTTCAAGGCCAGGTTGGACACAGGGGCTTGGAGCAAGCTGCTCCAGTGGAAGGGGTCCCTGCCCGTGGCAGGGGTTGGAACTGGAGGAGCTTTAAGGTCCCTTCCAACACAAACCACTCCGTGATTCTATGATTAATGATTGCATGCAGACAACAGAAAGGACCAAATAGAAGCGGAGCAGAAGCACCTGTGAAGTGTTTCTCACTGATACTTCAGGGCATAGTGGCTACATCAGGAAGAATGTGGTTCTAGCTCATTTAAAACCTTCATTATTCTTAAGAATCCAAAGCTCCTCTAAAAGAATATGAGCTAGGCACTTCAGCATCCTAAGAAGCCCCTCCTCTTCACTCTGGAAGAGGATTATTGCTGTTCCAAGCATCCTTCCTTCGCCTGCTGCAGGTCCTGGTATTGACGGTAACTATTTGGTTAGATACTGGTATGCTGTATGAGTTGAGAGTTGTTTTATCAGATTTTCATCCTTCATTGGCAAGGCAAAGGTATGACTATTGATACAGTAATGACCATGAAGCAGAGGTGCCTTTTGAATTTACATACAGAATTAGCAACCTGTTTGGAACTCCTGGCATGCCCTGTACCAGGCACTGACATGACAGAGCTCCCAGCGCAGTCTCCAAGTATTTACCTGAGAGTGGTAAGAAAGTGGAGTTCCCTTCAACTCTTCAGTCTGTCTTTGAGCAAGTCTGTATCTGAAGAAACCTTCATCTCCCAGAATCTAATTTACACACAGAGCAGCCTCATATCCCTGTACCCTCAAGATAAATAAATGGCTAAATTGAAATACTGAATATTGTAAGGCCTTGTTCATTCCATTATTTTTTTCTCCAAGATTACCCTGCAGACCTCAGTGATTAACTACTGCAACATACCCCCTCAGAAAAGCAATTTCTTAGCTGCTGAGAAGTCAGAGTGAGATCCAGAACATGGCAGAACACATCTGGTGTTTGTTTCAAAGGAGATTTGCACAGGCGTTTCTGCAGACTAAAACAAATCTGGTTTGAGAAGGGGAGTTGCTGGTCTAACCCTTCCTTAGCACATGCCAGAATAGGTTTCTGTGTATGTACATCACCTTTCCTGCACCTGGGATGGGTTACTGTTTTTAAGGAGGTCTGAATAAATCACTCAACTGCATCTAACTGTACAACAGTTTGGAAATAGTGAGGAAATCTTGAGCAAGCCCAATTTTAAGACTTATCTTCAGAAGCTCCTGAGCAGGAACCTTCTTTGTCCTCTGTTTGCACAGTGCCTAGTTCAGCAGGGTCCTGTCGTGACTAGGGGTCCCGAGTTTGTATTGTACAGCAATACAAGTTATAAATAAGAAATAGCAATACATAGTATATGATCAATAATACCTACTGTATACCCTGTTCGTCAAACACACTGTACCCCAGCAAATACTTGAAAAACATGGTAACAAAGTTACCAATTGCAAGACAAATGCAATTTGTTTGATGCAAATATTTAACCTTAAGGTTCAAGTGCCTGGGAAACTCATTCCTGGTATTGCTTCACCAGCACTGAAAGGAACGCAGACCAGAGCTGGAACCGGTTCATGCACAGCCTTGGGAGCCTAGCAGAAACTGGGAGGAAACATCTAGGTAGAAGCCAAGGCAGTGAATCCATGAACAGCTTCTCATGTCCACCATCTGTTTTCATGCTAGAAGGAACTACACATGAGAATTCCAGTGTTGGTGGGTTGGGTTGGGTTTTTTTTTTCTCTTGTGTTGGCCTTTTCATTTGGAAAAACAAATAAATAGGGAAGACAGACAAATGGTAATGAACCATTTCCAATGTCCCCTATGGCTATCTCATTTGTCCCAAATGACTGCTGCATGGAATTAAAAAACTTAGAGGCTGGGATTTGAGAACAAATTTATAAATTAAAAAAGAGACACTGAGAAGAGAATTTCTTCAGGGTTTCGTTCCTTCCCCACTCTGCAGCAAGGAGAGCAAAAATACAATCCCAAAGAGGAGAGAAGTCAGAGGGGATTGGGAGGTCCAGTCTTGAGCCTGTTTCCCATGTTGCTAATTCTTACAGGAGGTTATTTACGAAGCAGGAGATGTTCGAGGGAAAGCAGGCAGCTGCAGACACAGGCATCGGCTCCTCCATCCAGACAGGTCTATGCAGTCTCAGTCTCTTGCTCTGGGAAGGAGAGGTTTTCCTTTCCACACTTGTCACTGCCTTCCAGTGTGGGAGAGGGGAGAAGCATTGGCCAGAGATTGGGGTCTGGCATTCCAGAGGCTCCCCTGCCTCCACTGCGCTAAAAGGAACTCAAGTATTCCAGTGCAACCTCGTATACAAATCTATACTGTTCCTGAAAGAGAGAACAGAAATCACCAGCATTAGGATATGGGTAAATTCTTCAGAGCCTCATTTTGCAAGCTGCCAAAAATGCCGCCTTTTCTACACCATTTGGCATCACCAGGCAAACAGTAATTGCCTTTCCATGCGATCCTGCGCAAGCACTACAAAGGGATGGTATCACCAGTAGAAGAGAAAAGCAGTCATCGAGACAAAACACTCATAGCAACAGCCACCGTATGGACTATTCATTGTTTGCTTCAAGCAGTCATTGCACACATTGATTCTGAAGAAAGAATTCAGTGTGATCGATTGGGATGGTTGAAATCAGGACAGTTTAATCTCTTTGGCTGCAGGGATCAAGGCCTGGGGCTCAGTCTGTTCTCCCTTCCTGGCTTCAAGGCATGTCACAGCATTAAGTGCCAGGCTGTATGCAGGCACAGGAAGAGAAATCCCCACACTCCCCAAAGCCATGGTGATGGTGACTTGGAGTTTAACCTCCCGGAAGCAGCTGGGCATGGCAGACATTGTTCAGGGAAGCATCAGGACCAGAGGATTCATTGCACATGCTAAAACAGGACTGATTTTAACTCTGATGGATCCATGTTCTGATTCATTTTGATTCATACTGGGCTAAGCCATGTTGGACAGGGCTTGGAGCAACCTAGTCTAGTGGAAGGTTGGAACTGGATGAGCTTTAAGGTTTCTTCCAACCCAAACCACTCTGGGATTCTGTGGTTCTTTAACCTATTCTGCAGTCTCCCTGCATATGCTGGGTGGGATAAGGCACAGGTTAAAAAAGCTTACCAATGACTCCACCATGTTGGATTTGTTATTCCGTAGCGTTTTCACTATGTGGAACACATCAATGATATTCTGCTGTTGAATCATTTCACACACGCTGCAGATGGCACAGAAGGTGCCACTGCGTCCCCCGCCGTTCCTGGGAGCACAAGGAAGAGGCAAGAGGTGAAGACAGGACAAGGACCTGCTTGAGTGAGACCCTGTGAGTGAGCGTGGTGAGACACAGGTACAGGGTGCCCAGAGAAGCTGTGGCTGCCCCATCCCTGGCAGTGCTCAAGGCCAGGTTGGACACAGGGGCTTGGAGCAAGCTGCTCTACTGGAAGGGGCCCCTGCTGTGGCAGGGGTTGGAAGTAGGTGAGCTTTAAGGTCCCTTCCAACTGCAACCAGTCTGGGATTCTGTGAAGGCTGAGGGAATGGAGGAGAGCACTACTTGCACTGCAGCTCTCACACCATATATGCTAAGGAAGGTCTGTAATATAAGGATAGGTAAAGAACATTCAAGGATTTGTGAAAGTGGAGACCTGCAGGGCAGTAGATGGGTGGAAAAGCTAAGTCATTTCTGGCAGTGCTGGACAGGGAAGTCCCAGGGACTGCAGTGCGGCTGCTCACTGCTCTGGGGCTCACTACAGCTCTGTGGTCACACTGGGACATGTGGCAGCACTGCTTTGATTGCAGCTGGGCTCCACCTATGAGACCTACCTAGACAGCAGAAAGTTAGCAAAGCTTTTTCAGCTACTCCTCACTGCAATTCATAAAATCTCAAGGCCAGGATGCTATGAAGTAGCACAATATTCAACTTTAAGTTCATTACATACATAATTAGCTTTATTTTCCTCAGCTGAAGCCTGGCAAGCCATCAGATTTCCAGATCCCTCATCAGTGCTCTTAAGACAGCATTTCATGAGCTTACAGACATTCCCCAGTCCTACTTACAGGCAGTGGACAACAGTCCGTCCGTCTCTCCCATCGTACTGTTCTTGCCACTTCTCCAACCTTCTGACCACCTTGAGGAGGGAGCGTTTGGAAGGAGGGGTGTCCCTGTATGCTGGCCAGCCAATGTACTGCAGATGCTGAACTATGCGGTACCCATCCTGCGGCTGAAACAAAGAGTGTTTTCAGGATGTGAGATGGGATGTTGCAGGAAACAGATAGGGTAAAGCAGCAGGCACTGGTTACACCTTCCCTTCTGGGTCTCATATCATCAGTGTTAATCCCCATCCCTGGCAGTGTTCAAGGCCAGGTTGGATGGGGCTTGGAGCAACCTGCTCTAGTGGAAGGTGTCCCTACCTATGGCAGGGGTTGGAACTGTTGAGTTTTAAGGTCCCTTCCACCCTAAACCAGTCTGTGATTCTATGATTAACATCCTGCACTCTGGATACCTGATACAGTGGGGAAACAAGGACTTTTCAGTAATCTGAATAACAATGATGACCTCAGATACTACACAGCCAGGCAGAAAGGAGGTGAACAGAATCCTTTGTTGTTCCCAGTAGAGAATAAAGTCTCATCAAACTGTACGAGTAGATCAAATGTCTCTTTCCTGGTTGCCTGTGTTGCAGATTCATTGTGCCTTAAGAACAAGGCAAAGGTGGCCCTCAAAAAAAATCTCTGGAGGCCATGGCAGGAAAGGATCCTCATAAAGATTTTAGCAATGGCCACTGGTGTTGAGCTAAGATGGGTGCAGAGAACTGTAAGTTCCCAACACCCACCCTGCCAGCCATGCAGTCGCGAGCCAGCTCCATCCTGAGAGTCCCAGAGCCTTGGTCTTATCAGCTGTATGATTTCAAGACTGGTTCTGAGGGAGTTGGCCTGGGATACAGAAGGTAAATATCTAACTGATACATCAGTTGTGCAGTTGGACCAGAAGGTTCACTCTGCAATGCCATGACTGAATTACTGCTCAGGCTCTGACCATACAGTGAGAGACTGATGTGTAAAACAGCATGGAAAAGTGATCTGTGGAGCCTGTTTCCATTTCTGATTAGAAAAAACTACAAAGGAGACATAATCAATCTGGGAAAGAACTAATGAGAGAAAAATCCTCTCCTGGAAGCCTTCCCTGCAGCTCTGAAGTTGTGCTGTCAGGGTCCAGTGTGCAGATAAACTTTTGTTTCTATTGTTTCAGTTGTCCTGGGGCTGAGGAATACAGAGACAGAGTTAGTTACAGAAATGGCAGTTGCTTGTTTATAGGAAAAACAGGCAATTGGGAATCCCAGTCTAGCCAGTAAACAGTGGGCCTGTCTTCAGAGACACTGCACAGCAGCTGACAGATGGGAGAGCTGCTGACACCATCCCAGTTTATTTCCTATGATACCGATGGTTTTATGTTGGCTACAGAGTGATTAATTTATCTCAAATACAGACAGAAAAATGCTTTACATTTAAATACAGATTTTCAGCTCATATCATCCACTTTCTCCTTTCAGCCAAGAGTCTTTTACCAACACAGGCTGATGCAGTTAAATGTTAATTAAAAGAAGTAGCTACTAATTTCTGCAGTGGAATTTTGTTCCTAGGTGAGGGATTCAGCATCTCTACACCACAAGTCTTGGTTCTGCCTGTTCCTCGTGCCAAAACAGACTTTTGAGAGAAGGGAAGCTGGTACCTCACTGCTCTTACCCTGGCCATGTTGCAGATCCGGAATATCCGATTGATGATATCTTCATCAATGTCTGCTGAAACAAACTCTACTTGAATTGGGCCGTAACAACAGGAAGTTTTCTCTGGCCAGTACTGCATGCAGAGCTGGAGAAAAAGCCAGAAGAAACAGAAAGCACTTTAACTACTAACAAGGAGATGCATGTTCGTCTTCTTTCCGACTGAATTTATAACCAGCTCAAAATCCATAACCCATCTTGTATTACATGTATTTGCTCAGAGAAGTCCTCCTTTCACCTCAGTACAAGGTTTTTTATATCATGGATGTGAAGAAAAAAAGAAATCTCTTTTAAAAGCTTGACTTTTCCCCCCTTCTCTTTTTCTGTATGGTCACAATTTGTAACTGACTGAATTCTGGGTTCTGAAGGTGCAGAAAAAGTGGCTGACAAATGAAGCTTCCGTAAGGGTATAGATTTAAAATGAACATAAAAGACTAGTGTATGTAGGTAAATTTGGTGGGAACCAGAGGTTTGGTGTGAATGAGGAAGCAGTGCATGCACCAAGAAAGTTCATCTGAATTCAAGCAAAGTGGAACTGCTTTTTTAATGTAAGATGAACCTTTTAGCTTTCGGGCTCTATCAGTGAGCAGGGGAGGGAGGATGAGTATGCTCTGAAAGCAATGAGAGCAACTCTGATTGCAGGTGAGCCACGCAATCTCTGCAGTCTGTGAAGCAGCTCAGGAGTCTTTTCTTATGCAGATATTACTGAAAGTACAGAAAAAATCCTACCCATACAAACTACAGTCCAGGTATTTCAAATCCATCTGAAGTAGATCATGGTGAGAAAATATTTTGTTGAGGTCTCATTAGCGGTTTCTGCTGAATTTTATTTCTTTCTGGGTTTTCTTCCTATTTTCAAGTGTAATTTTTTAGAAATTCTGAAACCCCCAGATGCTCATTTGAACTTGATCTCAGGCATTTCAAGCTCAATCACTGCCAGTACCAACATCAAGTGTGTCAAGTGAGTCAAGTGTGCATGGTGCTGCAGTAATTCTGTATCCCTTTTATTCCTTTGATCATATGGGATTGAAACTGAGTGGGATATTCATGCAATCCTATGCATCTTTGCCCTTGGGAGTGTTTCAAGATTAAGCAAGCCAGCTAAGACCACCTAAGCAAGTCCTCCTTTGAAGGCTGTCTTTCCTCTTCATTCAGACTTCCAAGCAGCCCACAGATCTCCTCTCAAAGCATCTGCCCAATAGCCAAGGAGATCTGAGCTTTAGGAAACAACCTCAAGGTGCATTGGAAAGAAGAATAAGATTAAACCTTTCCTTCATCTTGAGAATCTGCTTTTCATAGACCAGGTCAGTGAATGGCCATCATCTAAATGTATATGGATATACGCTGCTTAAAATTGTCTGTCATCTTCTCTGACCTCCACATGATTTTAGTTGCACCTTTTCTCTCCATAGTGTATTAAAGGTTCTCTTACCTGTTCAACTATTGCCCTCTCTATAGTTCAGGCACAGCTTTTATATAAGCAATTTCTGTATTTGTGTTTTACTAATAGAAAGTACTAACACACCCTGCACACAAATACCGTGCCTGCGAGTAACTGTACACCACCAGTTTGGTAGTGCTTAGTGTACAGCACAGTGATGAACAACCAGATAATTATAACATGGTCACACAATGACAGTGCAAGCACATCACTTTCACAGCTGAGCTGCTGATCTGCAGAAGGGCAGGAGGCTCTGCAGAGGGATCTGGGCAGGCTGGATCGATGGCTGTGGCCAATGGTGTGCGGTTCAACAAAGTAAAGTGCTGTGTCCCGCACCTGGGCCACAACAACCCCCTGCAACACTCCAGGCTTGCGGCAGAGTGGCTGGAAACTGCTCATGGGAAAGGACCTGGGGGTGCTCACTGATGGGAGCTGAACATGAGCAGCTTGTGCCCAGGCAGCCAGGAAGCCCCCAGAATGCTGGCCTGTATCAGCACCAGTGGGGCAGCAGGGCCAGGGCAGGGATTGTGCCCTTGCACTGGGTGCTGGTGAGGCTGCACCTCAAATCCTGTGTTCAGTTCTGGGCCCCTCACTCCAAGAGAGACATTGAGGGGCTGGAGAGGGGCCAGAGCAGGGCAATGGAGCTGGTGCAGGGCCTGGAGCACAAGTGTGATGGGGAAGGGCTGAGGGACCTGGGGGGTTCAGTCTGGAGAAGAGAAGGCTCAGGGGGGACCTGATGGCTGCCTCCAAGTGCCTGACAGGAGGATGGAGCCAGGAGGGGCTGGGCTCTGCTCCCAAGGAACAAGGGATGGGACAAGAGGAACCGGCCTCAAGCTGCACCAGAGCAGGTTTAGATGGAGCTGAGGAACAATTCCTTCACTGTAAGAGTGCTCAGGCATTGGAACAGGCTGCCCAGGGCAGAGCTGCAGTCACCATCCCTGGAGGTATTTAAATGACCTGTAGATATGGCACTTATGGATATGGTTTAGTGGTGGACTTGGCAGCATTAAGTTTATGGTTGGACTCAATGATCTTAAGGGTTGCACACTCAAGCTAGGTGACACCGTGCTTGAGTAACCATCAAGGTGACATTGTGCATTGCCAAATCCTCTTTTCTGTGCCTACAGACTACCTTATAGTAGCAAATCTTTGCTAGGGAAAAACCAAAGCAGGTGAAGCCTTATGCAGAAAGCGAGCCACAAGAATAGCACTGGCTGGGGCTGACAGGTTTACTTTCCAAGTACCAAGTTTGAGGTGGTGTGTCATTTCCAGAAAAAGACTCTGTATTTTTCTTTTAAGTGTCAGGAAAGAAAAGGAAAAGATGAAATTTGCCTCTGGATTCAATGCCAAGATACAGGATCACACAGGCTGAACTGGACAGGAGGCAGCAAGTGCACAGGACCTCCATTACAGCTCAGTGGTGGGACTCCATGGGTCAGCAACGGAGCATACTTCTGAGCAGAGCTCTCACTGTACCTGGAAATGAAATTCCATCTCTTTCACCCTGAAGGCGATGCCCTCAGTGAATGAGGTGACTGGTTTCTCCGTTACCGTCAAAAGAAAAGAGACCAATAAACTTGCTGCCTTCAAGTGTGGTAAGATTTTGAAGGCAGAGACAAATGCAAAACGAATCCATAAAGCACCAGTTACTTGAAGGTTCCTCTCCTCTTGTTGCACAAGTGCTGTGATGGGTGAATCAGCCATGCCAAATGTACTCTTCACACAGATTGTACAATTGTGCCTTTTTGAAAGCTGTTCTGCCAGTCATGAGTGGCTGGAAATGCTGCTACAGGAGGAGCCGCAACAGCTCCTGCCCTGGCAAGCTCAATAATGGTGTGTTCAGTAGCCAAGGAACAACTTACACATGACACTAGAGAGAAAAATACAGAGCAGAACGTGCTTCTCTGGAACCTGTGCAAACCACACTTCTCACTGTTACTGAACTGCATTGGAAAACTCAGGGAGAAGATCTTTCAAATGAGGTCAGCATCCCTCTTGGTTTCATTCTTCTGGAAAGGCCATGTGGACATCAAGCATGAAGCACATTGGGCTGTGCTAGGGAAAACTTCCTGAACCAAAGACAGATACAAATATGAAAGGGATGAAAGCGGTGTTGGGAGGAAAATAAGGGCCCACAAGCACAATGTATTCAGGTATCCCTGTCTACTGCAGCAAGAATTAGCTGCCTTGGAAGGAGCCAAGTATTCATATGTAAGTTCATGCTTACTGTTCATTATAGCCAATATATTATCTAATACTTTCCAGTTACCCTTCATTTGTTTATTGTGCTGGGTAGGGGGGAAGGGGCACAAGAATATGGCAGCAGAAACACTCTTAAAACCATTTGGATTTGAGAAGAAAGTTACATGACAGAAATGATGAAAAGCCACTTACCTGTGCTGCATCCATCTCGTTCAGCATCACCACAGAGGAGCAGTTATAATCAAACACCAGCCTCCAGAAGTCTGCTACGGTGTTGGGCAGAGGGTGTTGGGTGACAATAAAGGCAGCAGGTTGCTTGTGGCTCTAACAAAAGAGTGAGATTAGTTAAAAAGAAATTCAATCAACCTTTTTTCCCAATGACTATTGCACCCGGGAGGCTGTGGCAAGGCAACAGAGCCATTTAACCAGATTATACAAATCACATATCCTTCTCCTTGTTATCGCTCTGCAGTGAATGAACCTTTCATAATGGGATTCTTTTGCTCCCAATGAAGACATTTCATTAAAGAAGTGTCACAAGAGCAGAGATTACCCAAATCAATTATTTATATTTTGAGACTCAGCAAATAATACTAATTCTACTATTACTACTACTATCAGAAATATTAATAAATGGGAAGAAAACAGCTGGAAGCAAATGTTATCCTTTTTTGCTGCGATGAACACTAGTAGCTACAGAAGGGATTAGCCCCCCTGTCTGCTATAGCTCCCTGGCAATACAGTGCTACAGAGGTGGCACATCTGGATCCCATCCATTCTTTAAGAGCTGGTGGGGCAATATTCAGAGTCTGCAGCAATGGCATTTAATGTCTGGTGTTATTCTTTCACCTGAGAAAAGCTCTCTGACCTCAGCCTCCCTAACCACGGAGGGCAAAAACAGTGCTCCCAACCTCTGCAGGGCTCTGTCAAAGAATGCTTGTGAGGCACTTGGAGATGGAAGGTTATTGCTTTCCAACAATGGAAGCCTAAGTGAGCTGACAAACTGCTCAGTACTTGGTGCTGTATGTCTGTGAAGCTGACTTGAATCTTAAGGCACAATATTTGAGGCAGAAGAGGCTGGTTTTTAATGCTGTGCAGTCAACAGCCCAGTCTTAGGCTGGGACCCATGCTGAGTGCTTCACCCCTGAGAGAGGATACAAATGGTGTTCTGTGTCTAAGGGCGAATTTTGGTGAAGACAGTCCAGAGGAGCCTGCAAGACTGTCTTCCTGGGACAATTCCTGCTTCCAAACCCAGGCTCTAACCCATCCCAGGTGTACCATCACCCCTTCCTGCTCTAGCACTTCCTTCCATCACAGCTTTCATGATATACACAGAGTGAGCTGCAAGGGTGGGAGAGAAGTTTTCAAAGAAGAAATAAAGATGCTGCCCAGGGCAGTGCTGGAGTCACCGTCCCTGGAAGCATTCACACACTGTGTAGATGATGCCCTCAGTGCTGTGGGTTAGTGGTGGCCTTGGCAGTGCTGGGAATGGTTGGGTTGATGATCTTAAAGGGCTTTTCCAACCTCACTGATTCTATGAGTCTATCACAAATCTGTAAATAAAATCATCACTGGGACTGTGTTATCAAGTGTTCCCCAGCATGTGCCTGTCTGCACACAGTGAATGAACTAATGATAGCTCAAGGCAATATGGGCTGGATGATCTCTTACAAGACTCCAGGCTCAGTACAAGACTGCAGTCATGAAGCTACTGGGAAAGACAAAGAATTTGCAAGGTCTGTCCTCAACACCCTACGAAAATGTGGAATTTTGGCTGTTCCCCTATGATTATTATATTTTTTAAAGCTGCTGATCCATCTATGGCAAGATAAAGCAGAGCCAGAGACCAGCTCAGAAGGTGAATTTCAATGACAAGTGAAAAATTCTTTCATAGAAATTCACAGGAAGTTTGTGGGGAATGACACAAGTATTAGCAAAGTGATTTGAGGTAATAGGGCTGAAATGTGCAAACACATTCCCAGTCCCTAGGAAACCACAGAAGAGGAGATTGTGCTTCTGCAGATTTGCCAAAGCACGAAACCCACTTTGAAGGAAAACCAAAAAGGTTCCTTAGGAATACTGGCCATGAAAACATCACGATCTTTCTGAAGCTATCTGAAATTAATTCCATAACCATTTGACTTGACCTCTTCAATGCAGCTGTACCACTGTTTGCCAAAGACTGAAGGAACAGACAGAATTAAACAAGACTGACCCCAACACTGTTAGGGACAAAATGCTTCATTGCAGATGTTTCACCCTTCATTCTATTTACACATACTCCAACAATTACTGGCTTTAAAGACACCTTTGTCCAAAGGCAGCCAGGTACCGCAGCAAAAGAAACCATTAACATAATTTACCCTACACAAGTGACCTATGCTATTGGACTCCAGCCTATAAACTAAGCAAGGGAAAATGACTTCAGACAGATCCACGTCAGCTTAAGTCATGTCCTTAGGCCTTAAAAGTATCCTGTACATCTGATCCATGCAATCCCATATTTCTAACTGCATATATAAATCTTGTGCTCCGTACTACAAATGAAGCTTCTCAAATTGCTGATCTGGCAAACATTTCTCTTCCGACTTGTACAACAACCGATGTATGGGAAGACACCACCTCAGACTGCTCATAAACTTCTTGTCAGTAATTATCCACTAGTGTGCTGCAGAACTAGTCTAGGGAACACCTTTCTGTGAAGGAGGGAAAAGCCATGTGCCTTTGTCCACAGAATCACAGACCTGTTCGTATTGGAGGGGACTTTCAACACTCATCTAGTCCAGCCCCCTGCAGTGAGCACAGGGACATCTTCAACTAGATCAGAGTGCTCAGAACCACATCCAGCCTGGCCTGTAATGTCTGCAGGGATGGGGCATCCACCACCCCTCTGGGCAGCCTGTGCCAGTGTTTTACCACCCTCATTGTACAAAATCTCTTCCTCACATCCAGCCTGAATCTCCCTCTTTTAGTTTAAACTCATCACCCCTCACCCTGTTTCAACAGGCCCTGCTGAAAAGTCTCTCCCCATCTTTCTCGTAGGCCCCTTTTTAGAACTGAAAGGCCATAATAAGATATCCCCCAGAATCTCCTCTTCTCCAGGCTCTTCAGTTTGGAGAGGTCAGACCCAGAAACCACATATAAGAAAGTGTTTTGCTTTGGATCCCTTTCTCCCAGAAAAGTATCCTGAGAATGAATAAACTCAATGCAGAGTAGGATCAGTGGGTACAGTGCAGTGCTGCTTACATCCATGAGTGCAGCATTGATGTAGTTACTGGATTCGCCATCCACGGAGATGAGGAAAGGCAGGCAGCGGTCCAAGGGCAGCACATCCATGCAGCGGTTCTTGTCGTGGTTCCTGGGCAGGAGGCCGATGCTGCAATCCTCTGGCCGCACACGCGGTGTCACGATATTGAGAGTCTGTGCAGGGGAGGGGAGAAGGGAGAGAAAGACAGAAGCGGGCTGAGTGTCTTGGACTTAACTTCCAAGAGGAATGCCATATGCACAGCACATGTATTGTAAAGGTACTTGGACTAGCAGATCTGTGGGATCCCAGAGAATGAAAAGAATGAGCACTGAGGAGCTTGCTGTTATAATACACTGCATTCTGCGCATTGGCCTGAGGTGCTCTTCCAAAATCCATAAGCTCCAGCAACAACTGAGGGCACTATATACACCTTCCAACAACTTCCAGCTCTAAAACCCCACAGCAGTTAGGTAACATTTCTGTTCTTTCCTAGAGGTTGAGAATAGCTGTCACAGGTACAAGCTTCAGCTTTGACCCAATCATGGTGTGAAACATCCATCCTCATGCTTCTACTGTACCTAGGGTGGAAGCACACATCCTTCTCGCTCTTGTGGATCCTGGGCAGAAGTACCCTGAGTACTGACCAGGCTCACCCAGCAGCTCAGACTGGGTTCAGATCCTCTGGTGATTCCTCAGTCTAATTACTGATTTAGCTTAACAACTCATATAAAAACCCAGAGAAAATTCTTGTTTTTTTTTACAGGAAAGTCTCTTTGTTTCTGGTATTATTTACTTTGCTACTTTCCTTTTGGAGTGGCACATGGAACGCTTCACTTGCATAGTCAGAACTTATCTCTGGGGTCTTGCTGTCAGTCTTTTACCATTATCTGTCTTTCTCATAACTTGATAAACTGTATTTCTTTGTATCTAATTTTCTTTTGTGACCAACCAATCCAGGTTGGTGAGCAGCGATCAAATACAGGGAATAAAAGTGAATGCATCTCAACACTGTCGCTTAAGTTGTGGTACATCGGTGGCTATCTGATGTCATTCCAGTTTCACTTGTCATGTGTCCTCATCCTGAGCAAAGCCAAAGCGGTCACAGAGTGAACACCTCTGCAGCCATCAGAGGAACCAAAATATTTAGGGTGCAAACATTCTTACCTAGAGCTTGAGTTCTGCCAAAGAGAGGCTACAAATGGGTCAAACAACCCAAGATAAATGCACGTGTCAAAGTTTAAAGCTGCAATAATATAGTTGCTCTAAATCAAGCAGATTCTACATTGAAGTCCCTTAGTCTAGAGATCGAAAGCAGATAATCTGGCTGGGGAAGCAACATGAAATCTCAGATCTCTTCCAGTGCATATAAATAGATGACTCAATGATTTACTCATGTCTATTTTATGCCCTTCCCCTCGCTCCCTTGTTTTAGTATTTATTCATTCAGGTTACAGAACCTCTCCAGAATGAGAGAGGTTTGCCATGTTCAGACAGCATGTAGCGCATGAGAAATGCATCCAGCCTTACCCAAGGGCCAGTGGGACCTAAATAATACAAATTGCATCAACAGATCTATAGTTAGATCAACTGGTTCATAAAGACTGTAGTAGAAGATACCATCTCTTGCATTAAATCCAGACAATTTGGGCTGAAGAATGACCTGAGCCAAAATCTGTACAAACAGATTCTACAACTAGACAAGGACCGAACCTCTTATCAAAGTACAGTGGAGTATTTCCTTCCCACAGGCGACTCCAGCCCATGGCAGCTCAAACAAACACGCACACAGGTGACAAATCTCATCTCCTATCATAACAAAATAAGCCCAGCAAACGGTGCCTTTCTTCTTAATAGGGTGACAGCATTAGATGTAGTTGGGCTTTGGTTCCATCAGAACCAGAAACGCTTTTATAGATCTGGTATCACCTGATAAAACCAGATCTTGCTTTAATTGAACTGTCACCAGTTGGGATCCACATTCCTTATCTCACTATACCAACCCTGATGTTTCTGTGGTTTCAGATAAAAACCACACTTCGCCCCTCTGCAGAGGGAGAGAGGAAAAGAGGCATCATGTCCCTCTTGTGCTGCTGCCCCAGAGCTGGATCACGACTGCAGGGGGGTCTCCCCAGGGCACAGCAGAGGGGCAGGATCTCCTCCCTGAGCTTCTGCTCACGCTCTGGGGTTGCAGCCCAGCACACGGGGGGGTTCTGGGCTCAAGCGTACACGAAAGCCTTGTCATGGGGAGCTTCTCCTCACCCAACACCCCCAAGTCCTTCTCCTCAGGTTGCTCTCAATCCACTTGGTGAACTCAAATGTTTTCTCAAATAATTTTGTAGTATTAAAGGAATCTCACCTTTTCGCTACTGACTAAGCAGCATGGCTTCTTCCTAAATAACTGAGGCCTCTTTTTTCCTATCAAACTCACCTTGCCCCAAATTTCCCACAATATTATATATTTTCTCTACATCAGTGTTGGCTGAAGATCCTAGAGGGATGCTCAATACCAGTCCATGTTTGAAGTCCATGCTCAGAAATAAACCTCTGCTTGATGCAGCAGTAAAATAACAAAAATCAGCTGAAATGAGACCTGGACTCCATGTCCCCTTTCTCTGCTCTATTGGAAATCATAAAATAGCACACAGAAATTGATTAAACACCAGCTGCAATGACAGACATATCAAATTACCTGAAACTCATCCTTTATCTGGCTGGAATTGGTCTGTGGATCTAGTCGGCTGATGTTGTAATATATGGATCTGAACTCACAAACTGGAATGGCTGTGTTGCCACAGAGACATGCCTCCAAAATGGCATCATGGACAAACACATACTGCTCCTGCACATGGGGGGATAAGACATTAAAATCATATTTTCAATACAGATAATGAAACATCATGGGTTTTTTTCCTTAAATCATGCATGATATGCACATTTGGCTCCGTTTCATGCAGAGACAAATTACAGCGTGCTTTGTGACAGCTTTGTGAGTGTATTTCATCCATCACTGACTGCGAGGTCTCATGTACTCATTTCAGATTTGCAAGTAAAATCAGAAGTCACCACTCTCAGGAATACTGGGACAAAATGGGAGTGGGCTGAGGAGGAAATCAGGGTGCAAAGCTTTTCTGTTCACAATCATGAGGTAGTGGTCAGGAATGAATTGTGCTTTGGACCTACGATAATACCAGAGAAACAACTGTACTAACAGGTCTGCTTTACTGCTTCAAAACCCCTGGACTTCGGGTATTCTGGGTAAAGTTCTTCCCTTGAACTAAAGATGGGAAGTCCAGCAAAATTAAAAGCACTTCTCTGCTGGTGTCCCTCAGGAGGGGAAGGCATTGAAGCACATACATAAACCTGTGCAGCAGGGTGACAGTTCCATAGGAGTTTGCGCAGCTGCTAGATGCTACATGATGGAGCAGCTTGCTTAATCAGCACCCAAAGCTTGAGTCAAGGATGTTTCATTTGTTTAGTGTGCAGTTGATATAAACCAGGCACTTACTGGAGTCTGTGGCATGCCTATGAATGAGGAATGAGAGGATGCAGGAGCTAGCTTTTTTCTACTAGGAGAATAAAATTAATCAGCAATGCTAAGACCTAAACTTCAAGGCTTGCCCTCCTGTCTTGGAGGCCCTGAGGAGCTGCCAGTGAATGTGATTCAGGGCACATCTGGACATGTTTAGCCACCGAAAGCTCTGTATAATCACATCACAGAGCAAGGGAGTGTTGACTTAATGAATTGCTGGGCTCCTGTTGAGCAGAGAAGCTGACAGAAAAGCAGCACGCTGTAAGAGGAGACCTGCTGGCACCTACCTCTGTCTGCACCAGATTGACTCTTTGGGATCGCAGCTCTCGCACACAGTTAAATATATCCACCACGCCTTCATTCTCTGCCATGTCGAGCATGATGTCGATGGCAATGAAGCACCCTGTTCTCCCAGCCCCTGCACTGAAACAAGAGACAAACACAAGGAGCTGCATGATCAAGGGACCGTGGAGAGGCCAGCTCTGTGGAGGAGAACACTGCAGCATGGACACAGCAATCTCCTCTTGAAAGCTGCTACCCTCTCCCTCTAGAGTTGATTTTTATGTGTAGCTAAATCAGCTTAGGATTTAAGAGAATGAAATGAAATACTATTTCCTGAATGGACTCAGGTAGCAGGAAAAAAAGCTTTGTGTTCTTCAACACCAAGAAAATCATGACAATCATTATGCCATTACAGGTCAGTTAACCTGCACATCCCTCACCACACAGGATGTGGGAGAGCAGTTGCAAATCAACACAATTCCAAACATTTCCTTCTTTAAAAACGCCATGCACAACTTTACTCCAGTGGGCAAGACAGAAGGGGCTCAGTCTTCCACCTCAACCATTTCTTTTCCCTTTTTAATCCAGAGGAGTCTGGGTCCTGAGGAGGGTGATCTCATGTTGTGGAATGTAAGAGGATGGAGAAGAGGAGCTCGAGGCTACTCAAACCCTTCAGTTTAGAGCCTCCCACCGCTTGTGGGAATTGAACCATCTCCTGCAAAGCTGTGCTGTCACTGTGTCCTTCTTCCCTCCTGGGAAATCATCCAAGCTCTTTAGGTGTGAAGGAGAGAGTGAGGGGAACGTCTCTTCACATTACTCCAAAGGAAGAAGGAAAACTCAGCTAAAAAAAGGGCAACTTCAGCTGCATGAAAACTCCAGCAGCACCGAAAGCGAGGAGATATGAATGACCATAAATTAATGGACCAGATTAATCAACTGCTGAATAGAGGAAAGATATTTTTCATTTGCAGAATCTTAATGAATAAGTGGCATTTCCTCTCCCTTTATCTCTCAGCTTTTCAGAATTTTAACAAATAGTTATAACATTTCTATATTTAGAGGATCCTGGCACTTCATAAATATCGAACAGTGATATTATCCAGCCAGGCATCGATAGGGAGAATTTGGTAATTACCACTTAAAGCAAGTCATTTAAATTCAAAAGCAGATAAATAACGGTGAGGAAATGGCCTCTATTCATTACAATGGGAAGGATGAAAAATTCCTCCTTGCTTTCAAACTCCTTCCAGGGCCAGACTCATGTCCTGGCACCGAGGCAGCAAATTCAGGCCCTGAGCTCTAAATGAATTCCCTTCTGTCACTTCCTCAGGCCTAGTAGCATTTTATTATAGAAATGATTCACTGCTTGATTAAAAAAAAAACCCAACAGAACAAACCCCCCCCATCCAAAACTGTTTAGAAAGGATGAGATTTAATTGATTTCCTTTTTTAAAGTGGTTGTGGGATGCGCTGTCTCTGTGTTCATGATCACACAGCATGGCACTCAGAGGTAAGTGCAGACTGATTAGGGTTGAGGTTTTGGCACTGCTGCTACAAACCCAGACTCTGGTTTTGTATCAGTCTCTTCCCTTGCATTTGAAGTCATCGAGCTCTGATGGCAGCCTGTGTGTGTGTCTGCTCTCCCACCACCAGCAGCATGCTTGCTCATACCTCAAACTGTTTCTGCATGTTAGGAACACTCCTACATATACAGAGCCTTGCATAGTAGGGGTTTAGGATCAGTTTAGATTAAGATTAGATATAAAGAAGAAACTTCCCTGTGAGCATGCTGAGGCGCTGGCACAGGGTGCCCAGAGAAGCTGTGGCTGCCCCATCCCTGGCAGTGTTCAAGGCCAGGTTGGACACAGGGGCTTGGAGCAAGCTGCTCCAGTGGAAGGGGTCCCTGCCCGTGGCAGGGGTTGGAACTGGATGAGCTTTAAGGTCCCTTCAACCCAAACCAAGCTGGGGTTCTGTGATGATTCTATGGAGCCCTCACCAGTAACAGCAGCAGCAGTGGAGTTAGCAAGCATGTGATTCAATACTCTGAATTCTCACAGCTGTAAACCAAGCAGTGAGGTTTCCTCAGGCATCCCCCTTTCATTAACTAGCTGGAAGACCCTGGACAGGTTTTCAATCTGATATTTCCATTTCAGCTCCTGGGCTTTGAGGAGTCCAAGATGCACAGCACTGGCATCCAGACCCAGGAAGACAGACTAATGTTTCTGATAAGCCTATTGGTGCTGGTACAAAGCTGAACTAAAGTCCATGTGGGTACAGCAAAGCAAAGTTGCTTTAAAATTTCCTTTCTTTTTGTAGACATTGACCCTTCTGCTGCATGAGGTCTTGTTGTAGATAACAACTGGAATGGCTGACCCAAATACTTACCATTCTTCCAGCTCTGCTATGAGTATCTAAGAGAGTACAGGTCACCAGAGAGTCTTTAACATTCGAATGACCCTCTTGAACCTACTTATATCATCTCCAATCCGTGCCAGCAAGGCTCCAGAGCTGCCACTTTAGAAAAGAAAATCAAATTCCACTTTGTTTCCTGGTGAGGCCCACAGATTATGCCCTTACACAAACTAAATGCAGCTGATTATTGCCAGATGAGAAGGAAAGAAGCTGACGGAGGAAAGGCTCAGTCAAAGAGCTCACATACCTGCAGTGCACAACAATGGGTCCTGCTTCTGGGGGATTGAGGAACTTCACTTGGCGAACGAAGCCCAGGAGGCCGGTGGCATAGCAGGGAACACCGTGGTCTGGCCAGCTGGTGAAGTGGAACTGCCGAATCTCTCGGATCTCATGGTAGCCTTTCTGAGGAGACAACACAGCCTCTATGACTGCAATCAGCACATTCTGATTACTGCTCCTTTCCCTGAGCAAGCACATAGCTCTCCTTATGCACAGGAACGTGTCCTGTGCTGCTTTTTACTCCAAGAGATTTCAAGCTGAACTCCAGTAACAAATGAGGTGGGGCACACAACTGAGAGCTGTGAAGGTGAATGCCAGCTCCCAATTCAAACCTGTGGTCTTAGAGTTCAAACCCAGCTCATTTTATAGACTAACTTTAGCACCAGTAAACCATGGCTGCATGTATCCAACCTCCTGTGGTGTTTTTACCATAAACCACCAAGCAGTCACTCTTAAATCCTTTTTGAGGTGTTGAAGCTACAAGTCTGGGGAATGAACACCCTGATGGTAGGCATGCCCCATGACAGTGGTAGATTTTCTGCCATTTGCTGCTGAGAAGTCTCAGTTTGAGATTACAACTGGTGTAAAAAAGGTCAAAAAGTGGTATCCAGACCCATGAGCTGGCTTTTCTGGTGAGACCAAGTGACTGGCACATGAAAATGGACACTGCAAGGGTAACAAAGAAGTGCTTGTCAGCTGTGACATGTTGTGGTCACAGGAAATGCAGGTAGAATCCAGCAGCCGGTCCCCTAACCAGTCAACTTTTGGCAATAACATTTCTTACCAGGTTTATAATGTGTTGTGGTTTAAACCCAGCTGCCAACCAAGTACCAGGCAGCCTCTTGCTCTATCCCAGCTGAAACCAGCACAGAGTGGTTTAATGACATATGGAGCTGATGTATTACAGAACTGGAGCAATATTCCCAGTGTAACTGAAGTTCATTTAGCAGGAATTTTTGAAAGCTTTAAAAGCATTTACTGAGTGTTTGGAGAGTAACTTGAGCAGACCTGGAATACTCCGGCACTTACACTTCCAATTTCTAATTACAAGTAACAAAAATCTTCCAAATGCTGCCAATTTGGGGATAATTCTTACACTCTTGCCTTTATTATGTTTAATTTCTGTTGAAAAGGGACCCTACTTGGCATCCAGTTTAACTGGTAGCTTTTTTTATGTGTAATCTGCCACTGTGAAACATGCGTTATGTCTGGCATACCATCAACTATCTGCTGGCTTTTGGATCCATTTAAACTTTGTGCACTGTGGATTCTACTTTAATGGCTACATCAAGATGTTCACTTGAAATCACTTGTCCAAAATTGGACTCTCTTTAAGATTAGCTTTCTGAAGTGAAACCTGCCCAAATAGCAACAGGTCCCATCTCCAAGAACATTCTGAATCTGTTTCCCAGACGATTTCTGAACACAAAGTAAGTATTGTATCAGAATTCCAGCTGACTGAAGGCTTCCTTACCTTCTGCACAGTAAATGTGCGTATGACATACTCTGCCAACGGTTCTGTTTCAATCAATGTGACTTTAATATCTCCATAGACCTCTGTGTCATCTGGCCAGTACCGAACACATTTTACCTGGGTGAGGGAAAGAAAACATTGAGTGGAACTTGCTCAAGTTGAGTCTGAACATTTTTCTCCATTTTGAAGCTGAAGCCAACACAAGTTGTGATGTATAGACCTTGTCAAAATTAACTGTATAAATTATGTCAAGATTCCTTTATCATATACAGAAAGCACAGGGAGGATGTTATCCGGGTTTCCTCTGTTGTCAGTGCAAATCAAAAGGATGCATTTAAGCTCTTCTTCTTTAAGACAGTCTTCCTTGAATCTCCATACATGCCCTGAGCATATACGAGGTTCACAGACTCCCTGGCAGCCACTGCCACCACCCCCTTTGAGAAAAATCTATGCTCTTGCTACTGTAATTCCCAACTCCCTCTGTTTAGTCAAAGCATTTCAGTTCACAGGGACTGTGAGATACTTGCTGATACATTAAATTTGGCTGACTCTAATCTTTCCTTATCAGATGTGGACACAAATTTGACATTTTACCAGCTGTGACAGGCCTCAGCTACGGCTCAGGGAAGGATTCTCCTGATCACATAAACATAGCCCAAGCTTAGCCACTTCTAGAAGATGTGTGCTAAACTAATAGTAGAAATTAAAGCCAAGGCTGTGAAACACTGGAAGGGATATTTATGGCTAACAAAGACTATGAAGTTTTTAAATGCTTTCACATGAAAGAGAGGAACAGCAGCTAAAAGCTGAAGCAATTACCTTCTGCAAGGCAGGTTTCATGTTCCAGTCATAATCAGAAGGGGTTTTATAAATATTAAATACGATTAATGCAGGTTTGTTGGGGATTTTTTTTACACAGTGGCATTTATTTCAAAGTGAAGTGTCAGCAGAAGGTAACTTAGAATAAGTAACAATAAATGAACTGAACCAGCTGGCATTAAACCATGAGATCTAAAGGAAATCAAATACAAAGCAGCTGAATCACTAATGGCTGTGGGTAAATGATCATTTAAACTTTTCTTAGTACCAAAGCAATGGAAAGTGACAAATGCCAGGAAAAACAATAAATAACAGCTCTAGTTTCTGGCTGAGAATGTCTCTAAACCAAAACCCATCAGGAGTGGGAAGAACATGCTGAAGAAAGCCACCCCAGACATGCCTTTTTCCTGCTCCGTACACTCTAGGTTATGCCTTTGGAGTTATTCATGTTTGCTCCCACCGTGGGCTTTGGCAATTGCCTTGTGCTGACACAAGGCCTCTGGTTCATCTGAGTGCAGAAGAGTGAAGTGGTGGGGGTTGAGGAGGCCAAGCTGCTGGGTGGCCCCAGGATCCAGCCGTGCACAGTCTCATACCAGCTCGGAACAATGATCTTCTGAAGTGACTGGAAGCTCTAGGCTTTGAACTGTTATTTCAAGAGCTCTTTTAAACAGTCTGAACACCAGACACACATCCTTGCCCCTCTGGATTTTCCTGGGTAGAGAAGTATTCAAATTATACAGATAAAGAATAATTATTACAGAAGTACATTTTCCTTCTGTAGTGAAAAAGGAGACAGCTTCTCAGCCAGCATAAATTTGTAGATAATTCCACTAAAGCTGAGACTTACACCAGGAACACAATCCTTATTAGTCTAGAAGGGAAGCAGCTAAATATTACACAATCTAGCACTGTAGGAAAAACCCCAGAGTGGCTTAATTCATTCCCTTACCACAATAAGCAAAAGGCATTTCACTTGCCGAGCTTGCCTGAACAGCACTGTCGTACGCAGTACTGAATTGGCTTTGTATGTTGGGAAAGTGGAATCCTTACCCTGCCCACTTCCACCAAGTTGGTGACCATGACCACACTTGCGGAGTTTTCTTGCCAGATCATTCTCCAGAAATCCTTCACTGTCTCTTGCATAGGCCCTAGGGCAGGAGAAAAGACAAAAGGAAACCTTAAGAGAGTGCACTGAATGTCAGCAAATCTCAGCTGTTCCCCTGGATTCCTACTCTCCTTTTCAGAGCATTTCTCTGCAATTCAACAGCCAGGAGCTCTGTAAGTGATCAGACACTTCCTTGCAGATGTATTTGGGGTATTTAAGGTTCTAGCATGCTGGAAATAGAGGTGATAGTGGTGTATTGTAACCAGCAGAGATGGCTCCAGTAGGTAAACACGTGTAAGTGATGGGACATGGATGCACCTTACAGTGACTCTGTAATTAAGACTGTATTGAAATTTGTGCCTGGTGCAGCACTAATTCCTTCATTTCACTCTGTATGTATTAGTTATGAAAGAGGAAGGAAATAAGCAGAGATTAGCCCTTTTCTGAAGTCCCCCAAGTAACCAAATGTTCATCAGTCACAGGGTTATTCATACTGCCCTCCTCCAGCAACTTCATACCACCAAAAGGTAAACACAAGATCCATAAAGTCTGTTGTAGTTCTAATCTTATACTTCATGCTCAACAGACACATTATAGATTACCACCTCTAAGCCTGAAGCATTTCTTATTCTTGTAGCTCAGGTTTTGGATTCGAGTGCCTTAAAGATCTTGAAATATCCTATAATCCTCCCTTTTTGTGCTCCTATACTGAGTTTTTGTAAGTTCCCCAAAATGGAAGATGTCACCCTATAAATAGGGTGCCCCATCCATGGCAGTGTTCAAGGCCAGGTGGGACAGGGCTTGGAGCAAGCTGCTCGAGTGGAAGGCGTTCCTGCCCATGGCAGGGGGTTGGAACTGGAGGAGCTTTAAGGTCCCTTCCAACCCAAACCAGGCTGGGAGTCTATGAAATAGCTCTTACAACCATTTAAAACAGCAGTGGTTTTACAAATATTTAGACATACAAGAATGAACTTGCCTTGAGTTGCAATGTAATGGCGAGGCCGGTGGTACCCCTGGAAGAAAAGAAAATACATGATGGTCTGTGAGATCACAGTTCAGACAAAGCACATTGTGTATTTTATACCTTCCAGGCAACAAAAGCTGCTGTAGCCTAAACAGTGTACAAACACCTGTTATTGAATGAATGAAGATAGACAACTGGATTGCCCTGTGAGATTTTAAGTGATGGTATCTTGCTCAGGCTGGGAAACAAGATTACATCATGCCAAAGTGAAAAGAGGAATGAGGCAGCTTTTACTACTTCCTCAAAGAAGCACAAGCCCTGGGACTCACCTGTGGGCAACTCTGCAAACTAACAGGCAAAATGCTGCACCTTACTGTTTGCCAAAAGACGAAAAGCATGCATTGCCTCAGGGTGGACATGCTGAATACCTGTCCTACATAAACTTATCAGGTAGATTTTTCATCCTTTAAAGAAACTCTTCTGAAGTGTTCAAGGCCAGGCTGGACCGGGCTTGGAGCAAGCTGCTCTAGTGTGAGGTGTCCTAGCCATGGGTGAGCTTTAAGGTCCCTTCCAACCCAAACCAGTCTGTGGTTCTATGAGTCTATGTTCCTAAGCTTTAGAACACTCATACAAGAAACACACGTTCATTTGATGATTCTGTGTGTGTGTGAGGGAGGCTGCTCTTTGAATGTTATTCTGTAACAGTAAAAAATATGTCAGTCTGTTTACATGCCTTCTGCACTGCAACTCTCTAAGAAGTTAGTAAGTCTCATATCTACCAGTGTTACTGCATGGGGCTGATACTGCTTTTCATATACGTCAATTTAGCCCACATTCCACTTATGTTGGTGGGTCTGTCAAACATAGGAAATCTCCATCTGTCCAGATTGGTCAGACAGAATAAACAGAAGACCGAGAACCTTCTCCCTGTCACAACATGATGTTTGTGTAATGTTCAGCTGTCATTCATATCAGATCAACAGTCTGTCCCTATGTCACATGCACCAGATTCATAAGCAGACTTGTCATCAGCAGTGTTTGTCATAGCGGGGATGTCCAGGAGCCTTACGTCTATGTAATTGGCGTTTATGTAGTCCGAGTGAGGGTCCCCATCCAGCAGCTGCAATCTCACTCTTGAATGATCATCTGAAAGAAGGAAAGGAAAAGAAGTGACAGTAACGATAAAAAGGAGTTTCTCAGTGTTTCATTGGATCTGCTGGTTCCTGCAAGTGGGGAAGGGAATTCTTACAGCAATAAAAAACGAAATCATATCACATTCGTGTTCCTACAAGCCTGTTGTGTTTAAGCTGTAATGTTTAGATGCTGAGGTTAGCGTCCATTCATACTCTGTGTTCATTAAGTTCACTGCTGCCATAATGCTCATTGAGCTTTTACACAGACCACAGATGCTGCTTCTGCTTGGCGTGGGGGAGCTCAGGACAGATCCTTACAGCATGTTTCTCCATGACAAAAGCCATACTGATGCTTGAAGCCTCCCCTGCCTTCATCTGACCTATGGACACTGAGGCAAGAGCTGAAACTTGTCAAGATGAGGATAAAAATAAATAGATTGCATCAGAGGTATAAAAGATTAAGGAGGGTAAAATGGCAAATGCAGTATTGCAAAGAAGAAATGGGACAACCCAGACACCAGATAAGAAACACTAAAGGAAATCAGAGCCATCAACTCACAGCAGCGAAACAGCATCAAGGCAGTGTCAAAATGCAACAAAATTAAAAACATACATGTTTTTGAGGATGTTCAAAGTTACTTTAGATAAGGCAGTAAAATACCAGATACTGATCTTTCCATCTCCCAGCACTACAGTGCAGAGGGAGACAGGAACTGCACCAGCGGGCAGATTAGGACACGATTTTCTGCCATGGGACTATTCGGATGTGTCCCTGGAACAGCTGGTGCTGGGCCCTGCCACAGGAGATCCTCCTCGAGCTGGGCTCTGATCTGATTTGGTCTGGCAATCCCAGCACTGGCATGTGATTAACTGCAGAACTCTATCTAAGGGTCAGTTGCTTGGCGAAGGTACTGGGTGACAGAGGTCTCCGCGGGCCATGCTGGGCTCAGTTCTAAGGGATTTATAAAAAGGAGTGTAATATTGAGTCCATTAAATTTAATTCCTCTCTACCAGTTATATGACTGTAGCCCTCAGTCAATAAAGCATTAATGTTTAGAAGCAATTTGCAAAATATGGGCCTAAGCACGATTTATATGCCATTAAGAAGAATCACAGCAATGAAACATAAAAATCCGAGGTGTGATTCTGCAGCAACTCAGTCAAAAAGGGGTTTAGTCATGACTTAATTAAATGTAGGATCAGATAATAATTGCAAAGAGAGATGCGCCTGCAGTCCTGAAAACCAAGATTTGGATATTTATTAAATATTCATTTGGTTATGAAAAGGAATTATTGTCATACTGTGCTCATGTTTTGGATGAGATTTTCAGCCCCCCAAAATACAACCACATTTGCTGCATTTATCAAACCCTGTATTTGCATTCTGAAAAGGTTATGAAGGGGAATCCATCAAAAGCTCTATTATATTTGTATTAATAAATACAACCTTTGCAGGCGCAGTGGAAGGAGGTATGTGTGTTTCTCACAGTGCTGATGTTGTTCCCAATTACCTGTACTCAAGGCAACGGCACCAGGAGTTGCAGTAAATCATGTGGTGAGACAGACAACAAAAGAATTTATACTTGGACCAATTCCCAAAGACAGACAAAGAGCTGATTAAACTGGACATCCAGATGAAATACACTAACCCTCCCGTCGACAATTTCACACTTGTAATTCCAGGCAGCAAATCCAGCTAGGTAAGGATCACATGGAATAAAAGGAAAGGGAAAGCTCCAAGAGCTGATGTTTTGGAGGGGAACTTTATGTTTGTGATCCCACAATACAAAAATGTTATGGAAGTCTTCACTTACTGCAACAATACAGCTAAATAGCGAAAATGATGTTTTGAGAGAGACAATGTCTATGAAGGGGGTGTAGCTAAAGGGCTCTGAACAGCCATCAAGAAAAAACCTGCCTCTCTTCTTCTAATGGAACCAAACCCTGGAATTAAGTATGAATTCTCTGAGGCACTCAAACTCAAAACAGAAGGGATGAATTGAGAGAGCTGGGCTTGTTCAGCCTGGAGAAGAGAAGGCTCCTTAAGGGGAGACCTTAGAGCAGCTCCAGTGCCTAAAGGGGCTGCAGGAAACCTGGAGAGGGGCTTGGGACAAGGGCCTGTAGGGACAGGCCAAGGGGAATGGCTTGAACCTGCCAGAGGGGAGACTGAGCTGAGGTCTTAGGCAGAAGCTCTTCCCTGTGAGGGTGCTGAGGCGCTGGCACAGGGTGCCCAGAGAAGCTGTGGCTGCCCCATCCCTGGCAGTGTTCAAGGCCAGGTTGGACACAGGGGCTTGGAGCAAGCTGCTCCAGTGGAAGGGGTCCCTGCCCGTGGTAGGAGTTGGAGCTGGATGAGCTTTAAGGTCCCCTCCAGCCCAAACCAGGCTGGGATTCTATAAATACCTTCCGAGGCAGCTAAATGTGAAAGACCCAAGGAACAGACTGCAGAAAAGGTCTGTGCGTTTAAGACATGGATAAAGAAAAGATGCTCTATAGCTGTAGGAAATGTTGTTGGCTGGGTTTTTTTGTTTAAGCCAGTATGGTATTCTATCTGTGAAAACCAGCAAAGGATGAAGAATGATGACTGGAAATGAATGACACTTTACAAAGAGGAGACATCCAGATTTAGGTCCTATTATATTTTGGGAGCAAATAAAAAATAATTTTTTGGTTGTTTCTGGAGGACAGGATTCAAAATATTTTATTGCATATTTTACAAAAATGAGATTAATTCCTGGAGGAAATTTATTTCTCTTTATAAGTGTGAACAGTGCAGCAGAAAAAAGATCAGTGTATGCGGTAAGCACACAAAATATTAATGATGTCTTAATGGTGTCCTTAATCTTTTTCATAAGTTTAGAAGCACAGTGTGGATAAAAGTTCATGAAATAACTTACCTCATAAATCCCTTTTTTCTTCCCAAACTTTGGAATGTGTCTTCTTATTTTAATGGAGAGGGGCAAAAATCCCATGCAATTTATATTATTAGCAATAACAATATTCTACTTCAGTTTTTTTTTCATCTAAAGGCTTTAAAAGGATTTTTGAAGAACAGCGAATGTCTTCATTATATCTTCTCCCTATTTCTGATTCTGCAGCCTATTCACTGGACTATACTAGCCAAGGAGACAACTTATTTGGATACTTTGGATCAAAGTATTGCTCAACTCTTCTCTAAACTTGTCAGACACCATGTCACTGTGTTCCAAATGGATTATAAGTAAGTTGAGAAATGGAGAGAGAAACAGGGAAAAAATTGCATGTCTGTAACACTGAGGACTGCAAAGAATGGAAATTAAGTGTATAAACACTTTGATTTCTCTCTGTTTACTGTAGTCCCTACGTAACTCAGCAGAACTCTAAATCTGTACAGAGTACTTGGACTGAAAATTGGTCTTAAAAAGGATTTCAAAAATGACAAGAATTTCACCCAGAAGCATCGTGCTCCCATTTTAGCACAAAAATGCTATGGCTTCAAACTTCTGTCAAAATTCCCATTAGTGATCATTTGAAAGATCACTGCAATTTTTCCACATCTCATTCTGAAACCAGCGCTGGATTAATCTCGCACAACTTTCGCCATCTAAACATTATACAGCTCCTCTAAACTGGCTGTCACAGCTCCTCACAAAGCCAATAGAGAAATACACAGACATCTTTTGAAATGATTCAGCCCAGTTCTGGTATGGAAGGACATCTGCCCTCTTAAGGACACACCATCCTCCTCCTCTCTCCATCCCCTCTGATCCTGAACTGTGCCCTGAGAACTGGGTAACAGCAAGGTGTGATTTATCCCATCCTCTCAGGACTGAGATCCATGAACACTGCACAGAAAAGCAAGAGTTCAGGCACTACAGAAGAAACCATGGAATAAAAATGCTTGAAAGATAAGACCTTTATTCTAAATTCGATACTGACTGTGCATTATCCCTTTCCATGGCCAAGAAGTGCACTCCACCCACGTTTCAGCTGAAATCTCCGTTAATCTCGATCTGTTCTTTGTCTCTTCTACCATAAAATTCCCTGATTAATTCATGATGTTCCAGCCTGAAGCATCTGGTAGCCAGAGCATGAAGGAAATGAAGCGAACTTCTCCCATCTTTTGTCATCAACTCAAGTTTTTAAAAGACCATCACAAGACTTCAGACCTGTGGTGCCTAAGAAGGAACATGCTTTGCTCCAAAGCACAACCCTATGTCTTCATGTCCTCAGCTCTCACCTGAGAGTTTTCACTCTCATTGCCCATTATAACAGCTCTAAATCTGGACAAGATGGGGAGAAATAAAAGAATAGAACCAAAGGCCCCACATAGCTTCTGGATTTTTTCTCTTTTACGGGTTCAGCTCAACATCCCTCCTTTAACAACCACTTGCCAATGTGCTTTGAAGGCCTCAATTATCTAGGCCCTGAAGCAAGTTAAATCATTTTGCTTCAGCATGTAAATGGATCTAGCATCTACCATTGACCCCTGCTGAAAAATCTTGCAACTCCACAATTAACTTTGTATTTGCAACTTTTATACCCAAAGCGAAGCTCATGGATGCTGCTGATACAATAAAAAGTTCGAGTAGGGCAGCTTCCTCCAGCATGGCAAATCTGTGCAATCACAGTCCATCCTTCCACCATCAACAGGGGATTTCTGTGGTCACACAGACCCCAAATCACTCCTCAAGTTGTATTTTTTTCCAAAAAAAAAAAAAAAAAAAGCCTTGCAGATTGAAGGGAACCTTGAAAACTGGGGTTTAAAGCACGGGAGAATCATAGAATCAATGAGCTTGGAAAGGACCTTTGAGATCATCCAGTCCAACCATTCCCCAGCACTGCCACAGCTACCACTAACCCATGGCACTGAGGCCTCATCTCCACGGTGTGTGAACACTTGCAGGGACGGTGCCTGCAGCCCTGCCCTGGGAAGCCTGAATTGTTCCTCAGCTCCATCTAAACCTGCCCTGGTGCAGCTTGAGGCCGTTTCCTCTTGTCCCATCCCTTGTTCCTTGGGAGCAGAGACCAGCATCCTCCTGGCTCCATCCTCCTGTCAGGCAGTTACAGAGAGAGAGAACTTAGAGCTAAGAACTCTCTTGCATCTCCTCTCCATGAAGAGATTAGCCTCCTCTGCAGTTTTGGTTTGCAAATGTAAGAACAGCAGATGGTGGGGCTGGCAGGGAGATCTGGGTTTTCACTGGGAGGCACGATGTTAATACAGCCCTGGGAAAGCAGTGAGCTGAGTGAAACAGTGCTGGAAGTGTACTATTACCCAGAAGGCCATAAAGACAAGATCTCATTTGCTGTGATTCACTGAGCAACGCTACTTACTGCGAGAGCTTACAAACCCACGTTTTAACAGAAGTCTGAAGCATTTACAAAAGTTAGATCAAATCTCACTTTTCAATTCACTGCCCAAAATGCATGGGTGTCTTGTTCCAGGGGTGGGGGAAAGGTAACTGTGGTTAAATAAATCACATTACTTGCCATCTGCGGCCTTTTACCAAATAAGGTGGTAGAAGCAATCAGTGCATACTCTGGGTTTTACCAGCAATTACAATTCTAGTACAGCAAAGCAGCTAGGGGGGTCATTGTGTTCCACCTCCCTGTGAAGGCTTGTGCAGTTTGAACCCTCTGGGCACAGTTCATTTTATCATCTCCCTGCAGGGATCTGCTCACCTGCTATCAGCTCTCTATCCTGGATCCCATCCTTGCCTTTACTCATGGAAGTTGCCCATCTTTGCCATCAGTGGGCTCTGGCTCAAGGCTTAATCAGTGACACCACTGAGCATTTCCCACTGGTTCTACAGAACATCTGATGAACAATATGCTCCTTCCTTAGCCATCCTACCTCCCTGCTCCCCAGCTTCTGCAAAGTGAAGCGACGATTTCACTCCATTTTATCACTCTTTATTGCACATTGTTGAATTCTTCTTGCTGTGTTTCAGAAGAGCTGCTTTCTCCTCCTCAAACTCTTTGCCCTGATAAATGTTTGAAATGAAGAAAACCCACTCAACTTTGTAATTTACCTTCAAGTCTTGTGCATCCTGTCTCTCACTATGTTCATTTTTTGATCTATTCCTTTCTACCTTACCCTAAAACCTTTCCCAATAGGCCTCAAACTTGAGCTTCTTTTCTGATGTTTTATACGGCTATGTTTTATACTTCTTCCTTAGCTTTTATCACATTTTCCATTCCCTTACTCAAGTGTATCACCTTCTGTCTATATTTCCACTATATTTATAGCCAAAAGGCTACCATCACTCTTTGTTAGAGCACAGTTCATCTTTGTGAACATCTTCATCTTCCCTTTAAATAATACCCCATTTATCTTCCTTGATTTTGGTTCCTTAATTTCTTCTCACATTTCACTTGGGGTTGAACATTCAATACAGATGAGATGGTGGCTACTGCACAGACTTGTCTATTCCCACCTCTACTTTCATATTACATCAACTGTTTCATCAAAACCATACAAAGAAACAAAGAGTCTTTCACATTCCCTTCCTTTTCCTATGGCACTTTCATCTCCAATCCATTGTGTACTTATTACAGCTGGATGATGCATCTGTCTTAAACTAATTTAATCTAAGATAGTTGTATTGACAGGTAAACTGAACCTCTGTCTGGAAGCATCACTTTGCCATAAGGAGCACAGGAAACTTGCAGTGAGATTCAGTGACATATTTCCACACTAACTGTAATACTCCAGTACTACCACTTCCGTTTTCCATTGGTGAAAAAAAGGACTGATGGAACTGGTGACCTGCTCCCTACCAACACCGGAAACTGGCAGCAGAAGTGGGATTAGAGCAGGGCTCACGAATTTCTGATACTCATTTCTAGATCTCTTCATCTTTACCATGGGGTCCCTGAACTGAGCTGTCCTATGCCACTCCCCCAGAACTGTTACATGAAACCACTTCTTTCAAGTCTTAAGAGAGGAATGGTGACGTGCGAGATGATCCTTCGTGTGGCCAAGGGGTTTTTATTCTTTAGTAAATCTGCTTCTTCTACAGCAAATACATATTTAACCTCAGAAAAAAATAGAGTACTAAATGTATCACTCAGCATGACTTCATTCTGCTCTTCTAGCGTTCTACAGATTTATCCAGTCATGAAAATCTATGGCACATTCATTCATATTCTTATTTCTTGTTCTGATGGTCTCAGGCTGGCTTCTCCAACTTGATGCTGCTCAGCAGCCCTTACAAAGAATTACTTCTCCCACCTCCTCTCGCCAGTCACTGCAAGGAATAATGAAACACTGGGGCAAGCTGCCTGGAGAAGTATCTGACCAAAATGACAGAGGTGAATCTCATCCTGACTTGGAGAACAAAGCTGACCTGAATGATTTTATAGAGTCATTCACTGCCCTACAGTTCTGTGATGCATCAATATTCCCATAACATCAACAGCAACTGGTTATTGAAAGAAGTAAAACTAAGAAGCTTTAGTGCATTTTCAGCTGCCTAATTGTGATTCTGAGGCAGAAGCTAAGCTTGTCCCACACATCAAACCAGATCTCTGGAGACAAGCAGTGACTGCTTCACCAGTTCCTGACCAATCACCAGTTCCTGACCACAAGGAAGGAGAAAATCTCATCTCTGATCCCCAACTAAGAATCTGATATATCTGCATCTCCTTCAGTGCTCCCATCTGCGGCACTGAAAGCTCTGGTTTATGCAGTAGAAATGGACAGAAAACGGGCATTATCACTCACCATGAACACCTGGCAAAAGGATTTAGCTCTTAAATTGCAAACATTAAGCACAAAGCAAAGCAGACAGAAAATGCGTAAAAACCATCAAGTCATACTTGACTTTATGTAAAACAATGAGAAAGCCCCTAAAATAAACTAAAATCACAGAAACATAGCTTGGAACAAACATCATTAGCAACCAGCACTGCAAAACAGCTTTTAGTGAGGTTCTCCAACACACCCTTTTCCCCAGGATGCATACAACATCTCACAGAAAGGCCAGGTTAATGTGAATTTACACCTACAGGAGATTATGTTTCCGTATCTGTTCTTATTGCGGTTTTCGTCTTCCTTGGCTGTATCCCAGGATGCTGTCTGCCCCTCGGGTAGTGCCTGTAAAACAAACAGTACAGAGAGTTTATAAATAGCTGACCAATGCCTTAAGATGACTGAGCAGGGCAAAAATAAAGGCACTGCATAATTCACTCATCAACCAAGCACACAAATGTTCCCGAGGAAAGGGCACATCCACTAAAGCAAGAAGCAGAGCTTGGTGCAGACCATTTGCAGCTCTTGGCTTCTGCCAGCAAAGAATCATTTGCATCTTGCTGCTTCTGGTGTAAAAGGACCAGGGGAATTTGTTTCTGGCTTCACAGCCACAGGTTAACTTCATTCTTCCTGCAGAACAGGGTTTGTGGGGATTTCACATCCATACAAACACAGCAGTCTTTCATATTTAAGCTGAAAACAGATCCAGTGATTTCACCTAGTTCTGTATTAATAATGAAGTGATGCAATGCAAACCATTAGCTGATTTTCTCTGGGGAAAAATAAAGCAGATCAGAGTTTAGATCATCTGTAAGGAAGAGAGGCAAAAGGAGGTAAAATGTGCTCATGAAGTATGAAAATAACCAGGAATTTTACTAAAATCTGCTAAGGATGGGGTAAGGAAACCGGCAGCACATGGTGCTGCCCTACAGCTTGGCCCTTCAACTATTCTGAACACACTCAAAAGAGCCACTTTGCCCTTGGGGCACATCCAGGAAGATTTATCAAGGCAGAGCCAGGAAAAGCACAGGGTGCCCAGAGAAGCTGTGGCTGCCCCATCCCTGGCAGTGTTCAAGGCCAGGTTGGACACAGGGGCTTGGAGCAAGCTGTTCTAGTGGAAGGGGTCCCTGCCCGTGGCAGGGGTTGGAACTGGAGGAGCTTCAAGGTCCCTTCAACCCAAACCAGGCTGGGATTCTGTGATTCAAAAATATCAGTTTCATGGTATCTGGCTGGAGGATGGTCTGGCCTTCCCTGGAAAATGGCTTGGATGCTTGCAAGCGGGATAAGCTTTCTCCCTTTCTCAGGATGGTTGGGAATGTCAGTACAGATACAAGCAGCAGGCACAACAGTGCTTACTGCTGGAACAGCAACAGCAACAACTCCCTGGGCACTGCTCATCATGACTGAATGGAAAGCCATGATCTAGTTAAAGATGTCCCTGCCCATTGGAGGGAGCTGGAGTAGATGAGCTTTGCAGGTCTCTTCCAACCCAAACTATTCTATGATTCTATGATCTGCAAACCACCGCTGGTGGCTACAGAGAGCCTAGCCTTGACCTGTGCCAAAAACACAGGTGGGGAGCACACCCCCCACTGAATTGCCCCTATAGATGTATGTCCACCAAGATCTAGTCCCTAACATGATCCCACATTACTAAAAACAAAAGCAACTTTATAAATTGTAGTATTGATGGTCCCTAGGAAATTATGGGGGTTTTTATATTGCAGTCATTGTAGAATCGTATCTTCCTTAGCTAGCAGTGGGTAGTGTGATGCAGCTGTGCTAGTAAATGAATTTATACTCATCTTCACAAGCCACTCAGGTCTATTACAGTGCCTGAATGCAATAGCAGAATGACATAATTATTAGGATCTACAACACTGACATTACAATTAAGTTTAATACAAGCAAAGCCCTGGCAGAGCAGATCACTGTGAATGTACCCCTGAAGGGTTCCAGGACAGAAAATGTCAGGCACTACAGCACTACCACCAGCACTGCTGGCAACAGACAGGGAGAGTGAGCTCCTGTTCAAAAGCCCAGGATAAAGAGTAGTAACTCTGTAATTGGTAGGGCTTTGATCACACATCTATTTCCTCTACAGGCAGCTGTTTCCAAACAGCAACTCATCTCCTGAGCAAAAAATCCCAACCCAAGCAACAAACCCAGATACAACAAAAAATCCCACAAAAGAAAAGAGCTAACGAAGGTCCATTTTCATCTTCAAAGACTCAGCAAAAAGATGCCTTATTTTCCCACTAATATCCAGTATTACAGCAGATTGACCAGAGAATGACAACAGTCATTAGACATCTAATCACAGCCATCTGAAAAGAAAAAGAAAAAAAAGGGAAAATCTTTTCTCATGACTACCACTGGGAGAAGTTATCTTGGCCAAAGAAAATACATCAGTTCCAATAAATACCTTTTCAACAAACCCTATGTGATTTGAACATGAAATTCTCCATTGAAACTGACGTTTTTATATTAGCCTGATAGCCTCCAGGGATTTAAGAGTCCAGGATTTTTCATCTCATTCAATACCAAAGAAATCTCTGCTTTGCACGGAACTACCCACAGCATAGCTCTGACTGATGAGGAACACAAGCTACCCTTGCAGAAGTGTACCTCTTCCCCCTAATGTTCTATGCACCAGATGACCAAACTGGAGTAAACAGTGTGTACATGGGTGGTACAGCACAGAGAACTTTCTATGGGATCACTGAAAATGCAGCGCCAAGAATGGAATGCAATAGTATCACTTATAATTTGGTTGCATCCAGAAAAAGAGGAGCACACCTAACGCTTTGTTCCTTCGGGTTTTATTGACACAGTATAATAGCAAAAAGAGTTATTGTTTGTGTTTCTCTGCATTATCAGTAATGGTAAACAGGGTACATCACTCAGATGTTGGTATTTGATACGTTTTCACAGGAAACACTCCCTCTTTGTTTTGAGTTTTTAACGGCAAAATTGTTCACAAACCTGGACTTGATTTTTAGGCTTCATTTTCTAGAGAAGTTTTATAGAGTGTATAATGAAATATCTTCCCAGTTGTAAAATTTATGTTACAATGATCCTTTTTAAGCTAAATTGATCTGATTTTGATCTGAAATGACAAGAATAGAACTCTAAAAGTTAGCTTCATCTCAATCAAGCTTTCTAAGCACCACGGCCCAAATATAACTGAAGTGTTCACGTTAAATTGAGGCTTCCTGCGAGCCAATTTAAATTTCCAATGGATGCATTTAGTTAGTTTGCTGTTTTTAATTTAAATAGGAAAACTTGAATCATTCATCTGCTCTGCTCTAGTCCAATGCTGCAATATTGCTGCCAAAGGCAACATCAATTAAAAGCTGAGCTGCTCATCTCAAAGCGTGCTACAGACTCCTGGTTGTCTCTCTGCATCACTGTCTTCTCAGAAGTGGTGGCAAAACGGATCCTGCAAATCTGTTGTGACCCAGGGTTAAAAACTGTTTTGGCTAAAGCAAAACGTAACCTGAAAAGCAGTATTTCACCAGTTCAGGTGCCTATGCTGGTTCATAGCAAAGCCTTAAATCAGCATTTTCCAACAACAGCACCTATAGTAACATCCTGCTGCAAAACATGCAGTAACATCGTGTCATAGCCTGAACCATGGGACCTATTCTTTTTACCAGACAAAAGCCGTGAAGCCTGAAATGAAAGGGTTAAAACTGAGAGGTGACTTAAACAAGTCAACAAGACTCTCAAAAATGAAGATGCACAAGGAAGAAGCCACAAAATCCAAAATAACTCAATGGCCTCGGTAATGCAGTAGGAGAAGGTACTTCAGTGACATCCTAAATCATACTGGAAAATGAGTTTGGTCACTTAAGCTTATTATCTCCATAGCCAGTGATGGGTGCTCGCAGTGAGTCTAGGGGACTAGTCCCGCAGCTCACAACAAATGAGGGCTGATTAAGTTCTGAAGAAGGAATATGGGACATTTATATGTGTCCTGTTTAAATGTTTGTGACTATGCCTGACCACAGATAGTGCTATCTACATCCAGAGCTGGTGATACATTATACTCTCGTGGTCTACATAATCTATTACTAAACAGCAGCAGCCAAAAAGGCCCAAATACCACTTCAGCCCCAGGCCAGCAGGCAGACCCAAACTAACACATACATGGCAAGTGCTGACAGATTTCCACCCTCACATACACACAGAGTTATCATCCATTTCACACCAGCAGTGGCACCCCTTCCACAATCACAGCCTGCTTTTCATCTCAGCACACCGTTCCATGCATGGTGCAAGCAGCAAGAAATACTTTTCTAGATGCCCGTGGTAGAACATGCTACCCATGCTCCAATGTCTGTAGGTGAAGGTGTGCTAAACAAGTATCAAATGCAATTGTGGAGATAAGAACATACAGAGATAAGAGATTGTCACAAAGTGACTGATACACTCCATTCAAAGTGATTTTTCATGAGAGTAAGATTATTTGCTAACATGTCACTAAACACACTGTAATTTATGCTATCAATTTGCAAAGTAAGTAGAAAATCAGCTCTTTAAAAGAAAAAACATATTTGCAGATGACACTAATACTAGTGTATTAAAAGGCATTTTAAAGAGACACCAGATTCTTTTCTAAGATTATCTCAGTAATTCCATAAAGCCAAAGAAGCTTTGTGTTCCTCCGGATTTCAGCCTGAGACATCATATTGAACAACTTCAACCTCTTGCCCTCTGGGAGCTGTAACACTCCTTGACATCCCTCTACTCTGCTCTCATGAGATCCCACTTGGAGTTCTATGTTATAGTTCTGGTATCCCCAACATAAGAAGGGTAAGAAGCTGTCAGAGCAAGTCCAGAGGAGGCCAGGAGGATGATCAGGGGCTGCAGCACCTCCTGTATGAGGACATGCTGAGAACATTCGGGCTGTTCAGCCTGGAGAGGAGAAGCTGCGTGGAGACCTCAGAGCAGCCTTCCAGTATCTGAAGGGGGCTACAAGGATGCTGGGGAGGGACTCTTCATTAGGGACTGTAGTGATAGGTCAAGGGGCAATGGGTTCAAACTTAAACAGGGGAAGTTTAGATTGGATATAAGGAAGAAATTATTTCCTGTTAGGGTGCTGAGGCACTGGCACAGGGTGCCCAGAGAGGTTGTGAATGCCCCATCCGTGGCAGTGCTCAAGGCCAGGTTGGACACAGGGGCCTGGAGCAAGCTGCTCCAGTGGAAGGTGTCTGTGCCCATGACAGGGGTTGGAGCTGGATGAGCTTTAAGGTCCCTTCAACCCAGACCAGTCTGGGATTCTATGATAATCCTTACATTTGTAGGACTGCTGGTGGTGGCTGGAAGCTCTTTGGAGCTGAAGTGTTCCCTGCATCCTGTGCTTTGAAAACCAAATTACACCACTGAAAACAACTGCTGCTGCTGCTACGGGCAGTTACCTCTAATTGAAGGGTAGAGCAGCACATGTGATTTGAGAGCTTGTGGCATTCTCCAGGCTATTTCTTGTAAAGAAAGGAATTATGCAAATCTCTATAATGTCACAGTCATTACATACGTATGGAGATAGCACTTTCTGGGAAAGGCAGAACTTGTGGAGCTGAAAGTTGCATTGACATTTTTCATGCTAATGTGCTATTTTGATAATTACCAATGCCAGTGCCAGAAAATTACATATATGCCAGCACCTGTTTTCTTCTTGAGCATCAAGAACTAGATCTTAGGGCATCTGTAATAGAGCTGAATGTAGTTTTGGGTACTATCATGGAAATAGAGGCCAAGGGGGAGCTCAGTAAGTTTCCTAGGCGAATTATTACCCTTTCTCAGTATTAAACAGAGCTCTTTATATTGATAGTTTGATTAGTGTGCTTGATTGCAGGGCATGAATGACTAAACCTGGTTAACATACAGTTACCAGAAACATTTGTTATGACAGTCTTTGATGCCATCCGATTAAAAAAATACTCCCTGGTGACAGCCAGGAGAAGATTGCCTCTCAATTACAACAAACCCCAGCATCAGCGATGCAAACCCCACGGACCCTGGCTTGCAGGGTGGAAAAGGGAGCTGTTTTCATTAAGTAGCTTATTTTTCACAGATGTTATGTTATTCTTAAGTAGTTCTAATGCCACTATGCATATTACTTGCTTATTGCCTTCCCACAAGCTTACTCCATTCATTACAATTATCGCTTGCCAGGGCAAAGTTTCACGTATGTTTGATGTTGTTTCTCTCTTCTTCTGTTCTCTCTGCTCTAAATATATACTCCTTTTCCATTTCCTCCCCAGTGTCAAGTTTCTTCTGGTCATTTGGATTATGCTCCTGGTCATTCCAGCCTGGTGGGAAGATGCGAGGGGAGCATGGCTGCTTTAATTTTTGAGCTTACTCTTTGCTTCTCTCCACACAGGGAAGAGGACATCAGTCAAACACATTAGGAGCCAGAGGCTTGAGCATACTGGAATTTAAGCTTCACATGTTTCCTGCCTTTGCCTTTACAATTCTGCAGCCAGGTCATTACACCATGATTTAGTTTGACCAATTGTTACAGAGTACAACAGCTCAAGCAAAAATTCTTCCCTTTCTTAACGCCTGACTTGCACTGCTGGCAACAAAAGCACATTAACAAATAAGGAACTATGGGACTCCACTTCCTGCATTGAGTTCAGCATCTTTAGGCATTTACTGTCTGCTCTTTATGAGAGAGAGGGCACGTGCTAACAGATGAGCACAGTGTAATCTCACTGCTAGTAAACACCTGGACTAGAGGGCCATCAAGGAGTGCTAGCACCGCAAAACCCTACCTTCAGAAATGGAAATATGATAGAGAAAGGAAAGGATTAAGAGGGTAAGGAAATTAAGGAACAGAAGCTCTGAAAATCAGTTATCCTCCCCTCCCAAGCATCTATCCTTCTACTCATTCATGTGAGCAAAGGTTCCTCTCACCTCATACTCCTCTTTAAATCCATAGCCCTGTCCTCGCTTCATCTGGGTGATGTGCTGCAGCAGGTCGGCCACTCGGATGGCTGGCTGGAACTGCCCCCGGGGGTAGGACATTTCCACCGGCTCGCAGCTCCGGAACGGGTGGGTCTGGATAGTCAGGGTTGGCTGGGTCATCTCTCCATGGCTACTGTCTGTTTTAAAGACAGGGAGGCAAAACAAGCTTTCACCTATCTGGTATTGCCATTCTCGTTCTTGCTCTGTTAGTTTATTTGTTTCTCCACCACCCCATAGGCTGGTGCAGGCAAAAGAAAGTAAAGAAGTAAGCAGGAAACACACACTTGCCTACAGCTTCCTGGAGACTAAACCACACTTGAGTAAACTCAGTGAGATAGAACAGAGTAAATAGCCAGTCAGGCTGATAAAGGACACTGCACAGAGACTGAAATAGCACATTTTGTAAGGCTGAGATGTGCATAATGACTCCAATCGAATTACATACCTGTCTTCACAAACCTGCAAAGAACATGACTGAGAGATACATACAGATGAGCAAGATACTCAAGTGGGATTTGGGGTTTACAGCGTGAGGTAACTCAAAGGGGCCACGTTAATGGCAAACAAATCATTAGCATTTCAAATAAGTCACACAGGGTGTTAGAGGCAAATTAAACTGCTCTGCTGGTTCAGGCCGAAAATTATCTCAATTATGACGCTGTAATATTATCAGAAATAATAAGCCAGAACAAAAATATAGTTATCTTGCATGCAGAAATTCACATTTCAGGCACGTAAGCATGGAAGAAAGTTTCTTTTTTAAAGAAATGGATTAAAAACCCCTCTATTGCTATGCAGTTGGAGCTGTAATCTCTTACATCCCCAGCAAAACTCTATATACACAAAAGATATTCCTAATGAAGTAACAGGGAAGAACTTAAATAACCAAACAATTGACTGTCACAATATTTAACCACAGAAACTCAGACTAAATGAAAAATTCAGTTTCTTATTTACCAGAGATGACCAAATTTAAATAGTTGGCCAAATAAACCATTGTTTTTTCCTATGACTACAGGTATATGAGGTGCTTGGGTCCTTTTACACATGCAGGCCTTAACAGACTGCAGCAATTCTGTCTGGTCTTACCCAAAACCAACCTACAAGCAGACAGAAAATGCATCTCCCTCAGATTGTTCTTAAAAATCCTTAACACTGTACGCACAAGGCTTGTTTCTGACAAAGAGCCTACACCCCATCCCTTGTCAGCAATCCTACGGTCATGTTTCTGAAGGGATAAAGAACAAATAAATCAAATTTCAATTTCAGGGTGATTTTGGTGAGGCAGAAATATGTCTGGAATGCTGCTGTAAACACTGCTGTCCTTGGGAAATCTCCATGGAGTGTGATCAGCAGCAGTCAGGATCTGTGCCGTGTCCCTTGCTGCAGAGGTGGGCAGAGGGATGAGGGCATCGGACGGCCTGTGCAGTGACAGGACATGACAAACGATGCTTGAGCTGGTTTAACATGGTATTAGGGGGAAGATACCAAAACTGTATGCTCTGTTTTGAAGTTGTGAAGTTGCAGGACTACGAGAACTAGAACAGAATGCCAGCAGTGGACACTGCTGCACAAGGAGGTCACCTCCAGCGAGAGATAAATAAGTCTGGTGGTTGAATTATTGGAGATGCTGAACACATCCCGCTTCTCCTGAAATAAATTACACAAAGTGATCATCAGCTCTGAAGATTAGGCTTCTGAATTGAAGGATTTCTGAATCCCAGGTTCTCATAAACACAGTCACATTCCCAGGACACTCAGAGATTTACAGAGCTATGGCTCTAGCGCAGCAACCCTCACATACAAAATGTGAATAAATTTGGGATTTAAGGAAGAGTAACATCCGAAGCATTTGTATAATCATCCCTAATGCTCCGACTAATGACAGTGTGAGCACTCTGAACAGAGGGAATTTCAAGGCTTATTAATTCCTCTCGTTGGATTCGTTTTCCCAATGCATCTTTCCACCCCTATTCCCTATTAACCTCCTGTAATGGAGAGGAGAGGATTTTTATCTCGGACCATTTCCGACAGACGTACTACACTTAATTTTCCATCATTAGGTTTAATACAAACCCAATTTCACAATTGGCTTCTCTGAGGAACCTGCAAGTAATGCCACATTTTTATCAGCCCCAATTAAGAAACATTACCACATCCCTATTCGAGAGGGAGTCTTAAAACTAATGTGCGGCTCTAGTGCTAATAACGGTGAGGGCACATGCAGAGCACAGGCGACTTGTACAATGTAGCTCAGATCAGTCAGCTCCTTTGCAGGCAATTATTAACTTCTGTCTTCATCAGATCCTTTCATTCTGGCACACTTGGCTCTTTTGTCAGGGAGAAGTATTATAAGGAGCGGTGAAAGGCAGGAAAGCAGTGCCCCTTCCTTTCTGGGGTAACTGCCCTCAAGTAGGTGCCCGTGTTATCAATCTGGAGCTAGAAGAAGGTGCTCAGTGATTCTCTTCTTTGAGTTTACAGCTATAATTGTGCTTCTGATCTCTTTGTTCAGACAGATTAAAAAATGGTAGAAACTCCACTGATTGTAGTAACAGCTCTTGCAGCATGGCCTATGGCATCACACTGTTCATGTGCTTCTCACCCAGCCAAGCACTTCTGCTTTAAAAGAAGCATCACGCAATCTACTCTTAACCCTGTGACACACAGACCTGAAACTAGGAAGATCACTTCCTCTGGCCATCTGTGACAAATTTATCTTGAATGGCCTCTGTGTTACCTGAGAAACACTCCAAACCCTAGAATTGCACCAGCTCAGGATGGCTGGCAGGTATTTCCACCAGCCTTTTCTCTGGGCCAAGGAAAGAGTGGAGGGGCTTTTATGAAGACTAATTCCTATGTATGAGGCGAGCCCCATGCTCATATGTTCTGCTAATAAAGCCTGATGCAAGCAACATATTGTTCCTGCTCTGTCAAATCAGACCATGAGTCCAAACCTAAGCAAGGCATTTCACCTTCTCCCAAGATGTGCTGTGAGCAGTTCCAAATGCAGGTAGGAGGGGAGGTAGCAGCAAACTGCTCTCTCTCTAGGACAATCAACCAAAAGTCTTTGGAGGGCTTCCAAAGAGGCTGTGCTTCTCCTGCAGATTGCAGCTATAAACCACATCTTACTCCTTTTGTTGCTTGTATTACCAGAAAACACACAAAAATCCCTCAGCGAAGTCAGACCTTCTGCTTTAATCATTGCACTAAAGGCAAGCCACAGCAATTTTCCACAGACCCCTCTCTCTGTCCCCTTCTCACAAACATGCCCCAGGCAAATCTTAGAATCACAGAATGGTTTGGGTTGCAATGGACCTCCAAAGCTAGTCCAACACCCCGCAGTGAGCAGGAACATCTTCAACTAGACCAGGTTGCTCAGAACCACATCCAGACTGGCTTGGAATGTCTGCAGGGATGGTGCATCCACCACCTCTCTGGGCAAATGAGGATGAGTTTGTAGGACAAACTGGCCTCTGAAGCACGTGGGCCTGTTGGGAGTTTTCAGTGAGAAGAGAAAAGCAAAAGATACTTCTTTTTTTTTTGTTTTAAAGATGCTTGAAATAATTCACTCTAATACTCAAAACCAACTGAACATAGAAAATTGTGCACTGGGATTTTTATCATCTTTCATGTGCACATCTTATTTCTAGTCATATGTCCTCCTATTCTGATAGAACATGTCACCACATTCCATTTCATACCAATGATGGAATACAGTACCAAGAAATAATCCAAATTAAAACACTTCAAGAGACGGTGATTCCATTCTGACCTCAGAAATTGGGGCAATGCTTAATTACCCTTGCTGTCTAAACAGTTCTTAATTGCAATTTGGATTCCCTTCACTTTGACTTGCGGGCATTGAATCTTAATACACCTTCTGTTAGATTAAGAGCCCTTTGAGCATTTGAAATCCTGATCCATGCAGGCACTGACCAAATCACTTCTTCAGTTTCTCTTTGGTAATGTAAATCAATTGAGAGCTTCTGAAGTCTCATTAGGGCAGGCTGCTGAGGCTCCTGTTCTTTCCTAGAACCATTTCCAATGTTCCACTGATCTTTCTGTGAAGCTGTAACTGTAACAGGTATTCTGCATGTTGCTGGAAACATGCTGTGTGCAAGAGGATCATCTCTAATATTAGCAGCTTGCAATAGCAAAATATATTGTCAGCTTGTTTGTTAACCCTTTTTAGTGCAGCAGTCTTACTCCCCATAGTAAGATGTCCCTTGCTAACACAGATATTTCGATTCCTGAATCTGGCACTTTCATTATCAGCCCAAGAGTTCCCAAAATACCCCAAAATTTTTTACAAGACGTTAAATCAATGATTCACTGTCTCACATAACTACCAGGATTGGGAAACTCTTCAGGCATCTCAGCTTATCTGTTTAGTGTGTGACTGCAGATAATCAAATTTAACAGTGTTGACTCTTCACTTTTAATATTCATAAACTCCCTGCTTATGAAATGGGGCTTCTTGGGACTCTGATGGAGAAATAATAATGAGCTTGCTGAAGTAATCTCTGAGGGTTTACTCTACCAAGAGAAACGTAAGGAGTGCAGGGTGAAAAGCTGCAGCGGAGGCCAGCTAGGTGGCATCTTTCCACATATGATGAGTAACCAGCTCGCATTTTGGTGCTACTCAGACAAGTAAAATAAGCATCTCTTTCCACCAAAAAACCAATATTCTCCATGGATGTCACATATAAGATGAAGAGCAGCTGAGAAAGTAAATTCCCAGCCTGGCAGTGGCTCTTGTGTGATCAGACCCCTGTGCACCATCCCAGCAGGGCTGCTGACAGAGGACGTGCTCCCCCAGAGCACCTCGGAATGAAAACTATAGATCCTTTTATACATGTCACCTTGTTTTGTAAAGGTAGTTTTGTTAGTGTGAGAGGTAGATACCTGGACACAGAGTATGATGGTGCCTTCTGACCAGAAAACTGCCTCAAACAACTGAGAGCGACATGGCACTGATGTGTCATCTTGTACATGCAGAGAAGTTTCTTTCAGAACTTTTGCTTTAATATCCACAAATTCCTTCTGTGTCTGTAATGACAGGCCTATCATCCCTGTTTATATTTTTATGCTCTTAGCCTTGCAAGTGTGTAACACAATAAGGCATCCTTTGCACCCAATAAATTATACTTTGAGTGGTGTTTGTGATGGATTTAATTATGCACATATCTGCTCTCTCCACACTAGAGTAAGGGTTGTCAGTTATTTGACATCTCCCAAGGATGACTCCAGCATGGCTAATATCATTTCCCCTCTCACTAAGAATATGGTGAAAGCTGGTAAAATTAATTTGCTTTTTTGTATGCATCAAGGCTTTATTATATGATGACTATTCAGCTGTAATATGCTATATACAATACAAACAGTAGTACGGCAAACCAAAGGAAAGCATCATTTATCTAATGATATCAACTGACTAGAAAAAGGCACTTTCTCTAACAAAAAGCTTTCTGACACCAGGTCTGCCACACAGCAGAGAATGGAGCTCTTTTCAAAACCTAGGAAGATGCCACATATGCATAATTAAAAAAAAACCTTGAGAAAGTGATTTTCTTTAGATTCTAAAGAGAATTCTAAGAACTTCTTGGCAAACACACAAGTCTATTTACTCATATTGCATACATTTCATCCATTAGCATAGAAGCAAACCCCCTTAAAGATGTAAGGAAGATACTTTGGGGATGTGAGCTAAAACTTGGGGCTACAGGGTACATGTGTAACAGTGCAGCTCTTCAAATGTGTGGACTTCACATCTGCCTCCTGTGTAAGGTAGGTAGACCTGACAGCAATTCATTAGCTACAGATAAAAAACTATAACTTCAATACAGCACACAAAGCTAGTAGCCATAAAGACTAGAATAGTTTTCCAAGCCACATGATCATACGCAGGCAGAAAGAAATGTCAGAGAAATTCAGATCAAAACCAGCCTACGAGGGCACCTGTCTCTGTTGCTCATGCTCCTGCAGGCCAACATGAAAACTGGAACAAGAAACCTGGGGAGGGGCTTTGGACAAGGGCCTATAGGGATAGGCCAAGGGGAATGGCCTGTACCTGCCAGAGGGGAGACTGAGCTGAGCTCTTAGGCAGAAGCTCTTCCCTGTGAGGGTGCTGAGGCGCTGGCACAGGGTGCCCAGAGAAGCTGTGGCTGCCCCATCCCTGGCAGTGTTCAAGGCCAGGTTGGACACAGGGGCTTGGAGCAAGCCGCCCTAGTGGATGGGGTCCCTGCCCATGGCAGGGGCTGGAACTGGATGAGCTTTCAGGTCCCTTCCAACCCCAACCAGTCTGGGATTCTTTTGTGAAAGCCTCTCCCACATCTCCTTAGAGGCTGACATAGCCTGGAAAGCTACAGATACAACTGAATAGAACAAGCCACTGAATTTCAAGATTCTATTGCATAAAACTCCCTCATCGCACAAATAAAAAAGCCACTAATGATGACGACTGCTAATACAGCAGTATCAGCTTAACATCTTTTTAGTTCCTTGGGCATTAGGCTGTTGGTATACCCGCAGCAGACAGATTAGTCACGAACCCATCCAAGCTACGGAAGAGTGAAATGCAAAGCAGATACTGATTTTCTGAGCAGAAGCCAGTTTTTGTGTGAGGCTTTGTGACAGTGAGCATTCTCATCTTGCCCTGCACATCTGCATGGAGCTACAATACACTACAGTCCTCATCCTCTCTGGGGAGCAAATCCTGTTATTAGGAACCTCCTGAGCAGTTGTAATGAGGACAAGGGGTTAATGTCCTTACATCCTGCTGGAGGATGTCAATGGATACAAGGGAAGGACATGCTGGTTCCCTTGAGCTGAACGCCTTGATGGCATCTGCTAAGCATCTTCAAGAGCTACTGGCCATGCACAGTTTCTCCAAAAGCAACTTCTGCTTCAGGTCTTACAGCGCTGGTACCACACGCGCCTTAATGAAATTGAAACACAGGGAAATCCACCTCCTTTATTTCCTAGTATTAAATATTCACTTCTCTAATGAAGATATTTGTGCAAAACATTTTAATCCAGAGCTGTCTACAGCTGGAGGAGAAAATTACAGAGCTAAAAACATGCATTACATCAAAAAGTATTAATCAAGCATGGAATAGGGTAGAGGCAAAACCAAAATCCCCTATATCTTCCTATCAACAAATCATGTAACAGCCAAGCCTAGGGACTCATCCATTACTGCAGAAACAGAACATTTATTAGCAGAAGGCATAACAGATGGGAACAAATAGCAACGAACTGCAGATAGTGCCCAAAGATGGATACTGGTGGTGGGATGACTGATGCCCCATTTAGGACCTCTTTTTCTTTCCCAGGATTGAATATTAATAAACGTCAAAAACTAAACTTACGTTGCTCATACAGCAACGTCTGGTGAATCTATCCAAGAAGCCAGAACACCAAGGTTTGACTCTGTCTTCAAGTCACAAGATAGAAATTTCTCCAATGCCAAGGGCTGTTTCATAGCAACTGTGGCTGTTAAATTCTGACGGAACTGGGCAGGGTGACCTGTCTGTGTAAATCATGCCTTGTACTTAACTTCTCACATTTAAAACAGGGATATTAATCCTTACTGAGACAGAGTGGTTAGTAGAAGTGAAGTTTTGAAAGAGTTTTGAATACATCTATACAAGTTTATTTCCTATTTCCTCTTTTTCCTCTATAAAATCTGCGATTTTGAAAGTTTTGGGGACTTTTTTGGCTTTTTCTTTCCCATGAGAAGTGCAGACTGAATCTGTCTGTTGCTCCTTGAGCTTCAGATTACTTAGTGTGCAGTTCACATCATCATTCTCACTACCAGGACAGAGGGGGGAAAACAGCTCCCGCAGAGGAGGATCTGGTTGTCACAGATGCCAGTACCAGACTGAGAGCAGTCTGACACCTCCCAGCAAACTGCAGGTCTGTGCCCTGCTGTGCAAGTATGCCTGAAAGATAAATCTACCTTTAGACTTTTCTACTGATGACACTGAGTCTCCTGGAAATGGGAACAAACCGTCTGGAAAAGGGACTCCTTCCCTCCCTTCTTAAAAGAAGGCTCATTCACTGACATTAACACTGTGATAGACATCAGGATAAATGTGTGTGTGGTGCTGGTCCCTTCAAGCTTCTGTGCCTGTGCTGTTCATGTGTAAGCCAAGACACTTAAGCAATGGGTTGTAATTTCTTTCTGGTCTACCTGTGGGCCTTCAACTGGTTTTAAGGCGGCAGCCATGGTAGATTACTGTGCCTGGAAGTGAACATTTACTGTAGATAAGTCAAAACGACAGGTCTGGTAAACACCAGTGGTTAGATTCTGATCAACTACACAACATCTTTCTGATTCACAGAATCACAGAATGGTTTGGGTTGGAAGGGACTTTAAAGCTCATCTAGTTCCAATTCCTCCTGCAATGAGCAGGGACATCTTCAACCACATCAGGTTGCTCAAAGCCCTGTTCAGCCTTATCTTGAATGTTCCCAGGGATGAGACATCTAACATGGTCCCTTCCAACCCAAACCATTCCATGATTATGCACCAGCTGCACACTTACATGAGACAGAACTGAGCTGAAGGCAAGGCAGCCTGCTGGATTTGGCCAGAATGTCAAATCCCGTTCACAAAAAGAAACAACAAATACTTGTTAGAACTCCTAAACCTTATTTTTTTAACTGTTCTTTCCTTTAAAAAATGATAAAATATCAATTAATAGCAATAACAAAGCATGAGCCAAAAGGCTTTCCAACTAACACATGACCACAGGATGAATTTTGGAGCCCAGCCACTCAACAGTGCTCTCTCCAAGTTCTTTCCAAGATACACTAAGTGTGTTTGCTCTCCAATGAAGTGCAGGACACCATACCTGTCTTCTTACCTAACAGCGTTGTCGATGGAACAGTGTCTGATGATACTTGGAGATGGAATTCCGTTCACCCACACGACACAGATCAATGGAAATCAACAGACGATCGACAGGAAGAGAAGTCACAAAAGATGAAAACAAGGTTAGCTGGATCTCACACGCAGAAGAGTCAGTCTACAGCTCATATTTGGAACATACAAAAGCCAAGAACATTTAGAAATGAAAGAAAAGTCTGGCACTAGTACCTGAGTAGTAGGAATTCAACAAAGATTTGCTCTGAAGGGTTTTGCTTTGGACAGAAAATGAACAAGGAGAGGGTGATGCTAGGTAGGAAAGACATAAGGAAAAGACTTTAGACATATATTAAGAGAGAGAAAGAGAACAGGGAGAATGTTCCGCAAAGAACACAGTAATATGGGATATATAAGGCTTATCAAAATGAATTATATTTTTCATCTTGACATGCATATTATATTTATTACATTGTCACCATGATGGATTTTCTTTAATATAAGCACTCCAGACCCCAAATATAGAATTATAGTTATTGTAAATCAGTGTGCTTCTACACAGGGTACACATACGGAACCACATTCTAGAAATCCTGTTTTTTAAACAAAGGAACAAATTTACGTTTTTGTCTTTAGGAGAAATATCCTTTAAAACACCCCCCCAAAATACAAATTACAGACAATCAAGTGCAGTATTAACAGGAAAATACTCAACACAATGTACACTGGTGCCACAGAAATACACAGGTAGGATAGCAATTCTTTTGTTAGAACAATGCAAGGTAACAGGGGACTTGTTCTTCAACCTAAGACTGTTCATAGCAAATCCTATGATCCTTTCCCATGCAAACTGGGCTCTTTCAGGACAAGTATCTCTCCTATCTCCCACTTAAAGCATTAGCTTTCTCTGGACAAGAATCCACAAAGTATTTCCGTATTAATCAAATCTCTACGGAAAGGAGGCAGGGCTCAACATCTTCCCAGTAGATTCTTTTCTTGATAGTAAATTTGTGAGGCTGGTTTCTATCTACAACAGCATACACGTACATTCTTATGGCAATCCATCATTTCTGAATGTGTATTCTTTTGTTATAATTCTACATTCACTCTCAGAGCTACAGGCATTTATTTATCTATCTCTTCTTCCCAGTGTGGGGAAACAAGCTAATACAAATCTCAGTATATCAGAAAGATGACAATAGATAACAGGGAAAACTATCCCATAATCCAATAGAAGTAGATAAAACTCAGTATACATCAAAGTAATTTCAGAAGCAATTTTTGTATCTCTAGAGCAAATACCACTTAAAAAATTCATGTTACTCTATAGGGTGAACCGAGGAAGTCACTAGGCTGGGAGTCAGCAGAAATGCCTCCTAAGCTGTTTAGAATCATCTAGTAAATGAACTCACTCTCATTGTGCATTCTCCTGCCATTTTTCAGATTTACACCCTTTGAATACACGTTACAATAACCAAATTTCTCACAGCTTAGTCCTGCCCCTGCTGCTTTCAAGCCATAAAGCATCTCTCCTCCGGGGCCTCTAACATTTTTCCCCCTCTATTTTTCAGCCTACATCAGATCCTTCTCTTACTGTACTTGGAACCTGGCCACTTTTGCAGACCTGTAAAATAAGGTGTCAAGAAAGTAATTTGTTTGCCCAGTGTCACAGAAAGTCAACAGGGCTTGGAGCAGGATTCAGGTATCTGAGAGAATAAAAGAACTCACTGGGCCATCCTGCCCTGCCAGGAGCTGCTAATGATAAATTACTGAGACAGTGGAAGTTACACACCTCACTGCAGTGAGTCTGATTAAAACTGTTACTAACTGAGTTCTATGAATTGAACCGTATTTGTGAGACAGGAGGAGATGCCTAGATTCAGGAAAAGAAAAAAAAAAAAACACCGAAAAACATGTTTCCCACAACTCTGGAGAGTTTATTCCCCAGATCTCACCAGCTAGTGGCTTGTATCATGAGAGATGTGTGCACAGGGCTGCTTCCTAAACAGAGGTTCTTACAAGCACCAGTATGTGCACTGACAGGAAACACTTCCAGAGAGGGCCTCATGTAAGGGTAGAGATTAAGACTTCATTAAAAGCTCTCTCTGAGCTCCCTGCGGTGGCAGGTGAGGCCACACAGACCCCACTGGCCATGCAGAATGGTGGGGGCTCCTTCTTCTGGAAATGATTCTCCCTTGCTTTTGATAACATTTTTCTGAACTAGCAAATCCCACAAAAATCCCAAACCAGCACAAAAACCAGTTAAAGGGATTTAATGTTTTTTTCCTTTTATGCCTTTGATGAAATTTGACTTTTATTCTTTATTTTAAACTTGATTTTAGAACTTTTCACTAAAGAAAGCATGATGATCATGATTCCACAAGTCTGCATTTAGCAGGTAACCTAAAATTATCTAGGAGGTAGGAATAAGAACTAGATCTTGATGTAACCAACTATTGTGACATGCAGTAAGTCTAAATACCCTTGTATTTCATTCATCACAACAACATGCAGGATATGGGAAGGTGTGAGTTTACGTGTTTCTTATTAATATGATCCTTAATACCCCGAGTGCCACTCACTACATCTTTCTCATCTCCTTGTTCTTCCTAGTAAAAGCACGTTAACTTGGTTGCTGTACACTAGTACCACTAATGCAAACCTCAGCTCCCTACTGCTTCCAAAATGGTGCCTTTAAACTGTACTTCTGCCTGTCACATTGAAGCCACCTAGCTAACCTGCATCAGTGTCACTCCAGAATGTTGTCTTGAAAGCCAACCTCCCGAGCCAACATGTCACAAAAGTTAAGCACCCCCTGATAAATCAGCCTTTAGCAGAACTGGCTGCATTTTAAGATAGAATCCCAGCCTGGTTTGTGTTGGAAGGGACCTTAAGACTCACCCAGTTCCACCCCCTGCCACGGGCAGGGACCCCTTCCACTGGAGCAGCTTGCTCCAAGCCCCTGTGTCCAACCTGGCCTTGAGCACTGCCAGGGATGGGGCAGCCACAGCTTCTCTGGGCACCCTGTGCCAGCGCCTCAGCACCCTCACAGGGAAGAGCTTCTGCCTAAGAGCTCAGCTCAGTCTCCCCTCTGGCAGGTTCAAGCCATTCCCCTTGGCCTGTCCCTACAGGCCCTTATCCAAAGTCTCTCTCCAGATGCTCAGAATCAAACAGATCCTGCCAGAACCCTCCCAGCATGTCAGGATGGCTATGCTGGTGACTTGGAATTCTCCTGGATAAGCCCGATCTGTGGCATTTTAGCAGAGTAAAGCCAGAAGAGCAGCTCCTTTGTGCATCTCTGCTGAGACAATACACTATTGCTTCTCCCATCATACAGATGGGGTGCCAAACTGCACACAATTTATGTGCAATAACATCCCCTCGCGCACTCTTCTGATCTGTGCACAGATATTGCTGGATAATTTTAGGCTCACCTTGCCTCAAATTTGTCATCTTGTTTCGTAATAACCCTGTATCAAGGCAATGCCTCCACGTGACTCTGCAGTACCTGGAGGAACATGATGCTGCTTTCCAAACATTCCTGTAACAGAAGCATGCTCCAACACTGCAAGTCCCATCATTTAACTTCAATGGATTTAGGACAGACTTCTATTTTTAAAAAAGCAAGATATTTGAAAAAATTAACAACTGTGATGAGCCTGCTTCACCTTCACACAGTCCCTGGGGTAAAACCAGACAAGCTGGAATTGCCACAAACCAGTCTCTCTCTCTGCAAACACCTTTTCCTGATGCCATATGGTGTCAGAGACAGAGGCTGAGTCCAAAAATCTCTTCAGTTTAAACTCCTGTATGTACCAGTAAGAATTTTGCCTGAATAATGACTAACAGTGTAGAATGGAAGGAGGGACAAGGAGCTTTGCTTTGGGCCAGCAAAGATAAATGTCCAGTTCTCTCCCACTTTTCAGCAAGACCTGAGGACTCCCTGTTCAGCACAGAGCCTACACATCTTCCAGATGTCATCTGCATGAGTTTAACATTGAAAATATATGTGTTTTCCCTTAAGGCACTGAGACAGACTATCAGATGGAAGCTCCCTATGGGATAAGAGACAGGCAGCAAACTGGGCATGTGGAGCAGCAGGGCAGAGAGGGGTCACCCAGGAACAGCAATAGTGGCAGCAGGAGCTGACCAGTGGCCAAGCTGGAGAGACTAAGGAAGAAAAAGGCTTCTATAGGGAGCCCACTGTTGTTTTTTTTCTGTTGGAAAAGTATTGAAAATTACTGGGAGAGGAAGGAAAAGCTGGAGAGAAGGACACATGCCCTGCAAGGACACTGTCATCTGGAGATAACCTTGCTTCCAAGTCATTAAGTAATTGCGAGGTATCCTACTCAAAAAGGTGCTCTTGTTCCATTTGCTGTTGTGAGCTGGCAAGGTGACCTTGGGATTTAAAGCACTCAGCTTCTCTGTGTGGGCTTTCCTCAAAGAGGAGAGGAGTATTTCCATGTCACTGCTCCAACCAACTGCGGCTCCCATAACTGAGGGTCAAGATACTCTTCATCAAGAAATGTAGCAGTAGGGTAAGGGGTGATGGGTTTAAACTGAAACAGGAAAGTTCAGGTTAAATATAAAGCAGAAGCTCTTCCCTGTGAGGGTGCTGAGGCGCTGGCACAGGGTGCCCAGAGAAGCTGTGGCTGCCCCATCCCTGGCAGTGCTCAAGGCCAGGTTGGACACAGGGGCTTGGAGCAAGCTGCTCCAGTGGAAGCGGTCCCTGCCTGTGGCAGGGGTTGGAGCTGAATGATCTTAAGGTCCTTCCCAGCCCAAACCATTCTGTGATTCTGTGGTTCTATAGAGAGGGTGATTACCCATCATGATATCTGCAAATGCTATTTACTGTTGGGAGGCAAAAGGAAAATTTTTTGCTTCAATGGTTGATTTCAAAAGCCAGGATAGATAACCCCTGTAGAACTGCCTTAGTTAGCAGGCAGGTTAAGAAGTAATCCTATTCTCCTATTCAAAAGTTGGAGTAGGCCTCCATAGAAGCCTTTAAGTATTAAACTCTGTTAAAGCATTTTTTTTTTAAGAGGAAGTCTTTTACCCATAAAATTCCTGCATGAGCATGTGCACAGTACTGCAGAGACCAGAACTTACCTCCAACATCTTGGCACCCTGGACCTGGCAGTGAGATATCTGGAGAAATCAGGAAGGCTTAATGGTAATTGTTCCTTACGGATATAATAAGGAAAACAAGAAAAGAATGGGCTTGTGCCTTGACTCAGGCTGTGCTACAGAGGGAGGTGGTGCTAAAACCTGCAGTGATGTCAGACAAGCAAAGGGCTAACTGATTTAAAAAAAGAAAACCTGGAGGGATGCTTTTTTACAAAATTAGATACAACATATTTTCCATCGTTGCCATTTCAAGTAAATGATTCAGCTGGTTTAATTAGGCTCCCAAAATACCAAGGGGGTGGGAAAAAAAAAAAGAGGTCACATTTCCAGCTCATCTCTTCTCTCTTATTTTCTGGTTGGAAACAACTCCTCAAACTTGGAAAAATCCAGATACTTCAGAAAGTGTTAAAAACTTCCTTTTCCTCATACACCTCAGACAAGGTACCTTGCTGTTTCTAGGTTGCTACAATGCTGTCCTCTGCTATCCTGTCCTTCAAAGAGATGAACCACTGACAACTCTTACTGTCTCTTTAGAAGATACAGCTACTCAGCACCTGAGAAAATTAGATCTTGACTCATGTCAATTTAGTATCAAAGTGTTCACTGCTAGCCCTGACACCCCCCGACACCTATCTATCCATCTCACAGGGATGTTACACACAGGGACAGCAGCAACAGATGCAAATGGCACCTGGCATGACCTACAGGGAAAAGAAGAATTCACTCAGCCTGTCCCACTCACTCTGAGATGACAAATAAAGGTTTCAATGATAAACCACGTTTGTACCACTTCCGTGTTAGTAATTAGGGGAGAAAAAACCTCTTTACTGAAGATGTTTAAGGAAGACAAAAGGGGTTTAGCACATAGTTGTTTTTCAGAGCTGTTCCCTGTTCAGACTATAGCAGGCCAAGTGTCAAAAGAAGAAGTGACATCCCACAGTGTCTAAATTGAAATTTATTTCATATGACAGCGGTTACACAGCCACTATGCAATCCACCATGCACTCCATCTGCATCTAGTGAGGCTGAAGTATGACTTCGCATTGCTTTAACCACAAAACTCTTCCAGCCAGTTGGTTTACAGATATTAACTAAGATTAGTTTTACTGAGCCCGTGTGAAGAATGAACCGAGGACACAGACAAAAGAAGAAATGCTCTTTCCATTCCAGATCTCTAACCAGGAGACCATGCTTTCTGTCATAACAGTTTCACACAAAAGATGTTTTCTCATCCTACAAGTCAGCCCAGTGATTTGATTCGACTCTTATACTTACAAAAGAAAAAATATTTCTGAAGAACAAATAAACATGTGCCTTTTTGTCTGCCTGATGGGAGTTATTAGCACAAGACTATAAATTATTCTTAGAAGGAATGCTCTATCTGACAGTTAAAATAGGGGCAGTGTCAGAGACATTTCAGACAACTGATTTCTACCAAGCGTTTGCAACGATCTCTGTTACTGTCATTCCTAGCTCCTCAATATTGTGCCCATAGGAATAGGTTCTTTTAAGAACCTAGAGCTCTCCAAGGGGGACATATCCATTGCAAACAAGTTAAACTTACTGAATCCATTAACATCTTGGCAGCTGGAAGAGAAAGCTTCTTCATTGTGAACAGCACTGAGTTTGGTACAGGTCTTGTCAGAAGTAGCCATGGGACCCATCTCCCTCTGCGTGCTGGTCTGAGTCTCCTTCTGCTTCTTGGCTAGCTTCCTTTAGGGCATTTTGAAGAGGGGAGAAATCAAGGTCAGTTTTCCCTCATTAAAAACAAAGCAATGACAAAGTACTTTGAAAATCATGATTATCCTACTTAGTCAGACATGCAGGGCATTGTGACAAACTGCACAAGAGGAAAACCCACAACTTTCTCATGTAAGTTTTGTGGTGCACAGTAAATAGAATGATACCAGTCTTTGATCTTAGCTGTCCCTCCCAGGGTCTTATCTTGCACAAATCTGCATCACCCCAGCAGTAGGAATGCTAAAGTCACCCTCAAAGAGGGTCCTGGATGGGTGTCAGCTGCTCCAGGAGGAGTGGAGGGCTTGGGATCAGAACTGCTCACTAGGAAGTAAATGGAACATCTGCATCCATCCCATGGAGGCATCTGGACCTGGGATCGCCTCTGTGTGCTGCAGTGGGAAGCGTGACCTAAGCCTGTGTAAACTGGGAACTGGAGCAGGAGCTCTGCCTACAGGACAGCAGCCTCTATGGAATTCTGACACGGACTCAAACTGCACTGAGGATCAACAGTCAGTGAAGTGTGGGGCAAAAGAAAAGGTTGAAGATATTTTGGAAATGTCCAAATATGTCTCTGTTCTGGGAAAATTTGGTCTTTTCTTATTTTGAGGAGCCATCAAAACCATTGGCAAAAGCAGCAGCACTGCCTGCTCTGAAAACACAACCAAAGCCAAGAGTGTCAGAGGCTCCTCTTATGCAAACACAGCTAATAATAAGAAAATGAAGAAGCAGGAAGAGTGAGCTGCTGAGCTTCCACTGACATTTGACTGCCCCGTGCTTCATTCATATCAGAAAGCAGAACTCTTTAAAAATGAATGTGTGACATTCTGCAATCCGCACCTTGAGGAAACATCACACAAATCCCCAGCACCAGCAAAGCACTTTGCTTACATGTCTTCTGTAGATAAGAAAATAAAACAAAATAAAACTGAGAAAAAGAGATCTCCATAAGAAGGAGCTTCAGTTCCCTTTTTTTTTCCTCCAACTCGAAGAAGAAAAATAAATCCTGACAACAAAATCGTTTTGCAAAGAGGTTTTTCTTCACTAAGTTTACATGTTCATGGAAAGTACTACCCATCGTTTAAACTGCAGGAGATTCTGATAAAGATTTTCCTTGTAACATATTCAACCAAGCTTGCTTTACTCAAAATACATGTCATAGTGGCATTTCCAAGCAAGTTCAAGCACACATTTGCACTCCAGCCCTTCTTGAGGCCAGTTACACTCATTTGCAGAGAAGGGTCAAAGAGAACTAAAACCTTTGTGCCTGTGGGAAATCCCTATTTTAAAGCAAGCTGACCATCCAGAGCAGGGGAGCACAGATCTATGGAGAAATGTCCAATGCTTGATGCAAACTTCTGAACAAATACATCTGCTTCATCTGCTCAGCCGGTTGAGGTTCAGCCTTTTACAGCTAAGTGGTTTCAACTCAAACCTGTAGCTACTCAAATTGGGCACATAATTACAGGGTACAAATTTAGATCTCACTAAATCTCCGTGGTGTATCTACTTCTGCAGATGAAGATGCAAACAGGAGGACCATCCTTGAGTGATGAAGCAAAAAGCTGGCATTTAATGATGTTAAAAGCTTTGCTTCCAGTGTTCAGCAATGTTTTAGCACAGCCAGATTTATTAACTACAGGCTACAGACATGGGAGCCCCTCTATTTTTTGGGCTGTGGTAACAACAATAGTCTTGAAGTGTATTAACCCTGCTGTGTGCTTACTTTAATCCTTTAGATTTGCTAGTCATACATGCCTATGTGACTTCTTTGGCAACAGGAATTAAAATCTCTCAGTGGGAAACACTAATCCAAAATTCACAAGTCCTTAATAACAAGCACTGTGGACTGCTGGGGTGAGCCATTACAGACAGCCATGACTGCTGGTTAAAAATGGTGAGTCAAAAAGGGTGAATTCCTTATTAAATCCAGATTAAATTGTTTGTGGCAATAATTATCTCTTACGTCCCATTGCCTGGTATCTTCTCAGAAATGCCAACAAGCTACAAGAAGCTGGAATTGGCAAACTCTTTTTCTCTTTCAGTGAGCGAACAATAACATTTCTGCATGTGCTAGGCAGGACAAAATAACCCCAAACCCAAGCCCATTAGTCCCCACAGGCCTGCTTACAAAAGCCCTATGCAAAGCAGTTCTACCTGGTCCTGTAGAAGACAGAGAGGCCCCTAAAACACTGGCTTGAATGCCTAAAAAGAAAAGGTGACATGAGTTTCAAGTTCTCACGCTAACTCGCACACACAGACCGGCCGCCTCTGCGCAGGGGGGACCAGCTCCCGCTCACCCGCGCTCAGAGAGAAGCCGCACAGGAAATCCTGCTGCGCCTGGGAAGGCTGCTGCGCTCTTCCCGCAGCACGTTATCAGTTTCCACCTTTCTCCCTCTCTATTCCAGGAATTTAAAAACTCTTCATCTAAATTTAGAGGGAAGAGGCAGACAGATCTCTTTTGAGGATTTCAGCACTAAGCTTGCCAGACACATCAAGGGGCTCTTGGTTTCTAAATGTGCCTTTTCTGCCTCTGTTACGTGTCTGGATGGAGTGGCAGCACAGGACTAAGCCTATTTGGGCCTTACCATCATTGTAATTCATAGAAAGGATTATAAAATCAAATGACTAGCACTTTCTAGAATGTTAGGGATGTGACTTAAACCCACAGCTAGGTAGAGGTTTATTTCACAGCATGTCAAAATGCCTTCGAATTGGAAAAGCATTTATCTAGACATTTTGTTTCCCAAAATAGGCCACTTCAAGAGATCTTTGTCACTCACTGACCAGCTGCATTGGTGCCACAGCTCCTGCTCTCCTGACTGACCAGCCTCCCCCAGACACAACTGCAGACCCGGATGAAACTGCAATCAGTGCATGCGTGTCAATCAGTGCATGGGTGTCAGCCATGGGTGGGCTGCAGCCTGCCACCAGCATGCACCCAGCACATTCTGACACCAGGCACAGAGACGCTTCCCATCTCATGCATTAGACAGCTGAAAAAGGGAAGAACTAAAGGACCAGGCAGATATTTGGAAGAAGATTCTGATACAATCAATACAGGGTGAAATGACAAACTCAATAAGGTGATATTAATGGCTGATTTACACTTAAGTGTAAGGAACATGTGACAAGAAGAAAATGGGAATCCAGGGATGGGGTTTACTGGATTGCCCTTTTTAGTTAAACGGGGTTTGTAAATGAATGCACTATACACACACAGGATGGATGAGACAGAAAGATGCTCAAAGTAGAATAAAACTGTGAAGCCAGCTGTACCATCAGGCAGTTGACGATGACCCAGCTGAAGCACAGATAAAAGTTACTGGCACTGAACCTCAACTAAGTGTGAATTTGGTAAAAACAAAATAAAGATGGAGATTTGATTCAGCTATTTTTGAAACTTCTACTGTATGATCAGGTCCCCATTTTGCAGTTTTGGATAAATATTAGGGATTACTTTTCTAAAGCAGCTTCAAACTCTTTGTATATCAGTTTTACATGCATGAAGGCTAAATCTGTATCAGCCACTCCTAAAGAGCTCCTCTACATGTACGTTGACAGATTTTATTTTAGATGTCTCACAGGGCTGGATTACATACACTATAATGTGGATTTGCATGCACAGGTAATTGAGACATTAGGTATAGATCACCTAAGTTAAACATGAAATTTCCTCCTACAGAGAAGAACTGCATATTGCCCTCATTTTCTATAAGCAATTTAAGAATGCTACAGAACACAATTCCTTTTAGATATTTGTGTGCAGCAGCCTGCTAGGAGTATACATATTATTTATGATGAAATCTGCACAAATTTCAGGCAGGCAGCGACCAGCCGTGCAAACACCCAGCACTGGTTAAATAGCAGTTCTCTGTCCCCTAAACCTGTACTAGATCACAAACTCAATTTGAAAGAACAGTTTCATGCTGGTGTAAAAATAAGGGAGGGATTATACATGGCACTAGGGTCTGCAAACTGCATGTAATCCTCCTGCTCTTGCTGAGAATCCCCAAGGCCTCTGCTGCAATACTGCACATCAAATAAGACGTTTGCCAAGGGGACATGAACAAGAAAGGTAAATCTAGAAACCATGACATACAAGCAAAGGCCAAAGGAAATATGGATCTTTAATGCAGAGAAAAGAAAATCAAACAGAGCTGATAGGTCTTCAAACATATGAAAAGACTCCACATGGGGAAGCTGTTCTGCCTGCCTACAGGGGCTAGGAAAAAAACAATAGAGCTAAGCCATGGATGTGCAATTCATCTTAAACTCTGTGCACTGGAGGCTGCCCATCTCCAGCTGACCATGCAGGCAGGCTGAGCAACGTTGACAACTGGAGGTCTTTAACTGGAGAGCAAGAGGAAGGAGAGTTAAAGCAGTGCAGCCTTCTGGGAGCCTGACATGTGGGTATCTCCTGCCCGTGCTTTGATGGTCCTGCTTGAAACTGCAGCTCATCCCAGGCTCCCTTCGTGCAGACTGTAAGGAAGGGCAGGGACACCTTCCACTAGAGCAGCTTGCTCCAAGCCCCTGTGTCCAACCTGGCCTTGAACACTGCCAGGGATGGGGCAGCCACAGCTTCTCTGGGCACCCTGTGCCAGCGCCTCAGCACCCTCACAGGGAAGAGCTTCTGCCTAAGAGCTCATCTCAGTCTCCCCTCGGGCAGGTTCAAGCCATTCCCCTTGGCCTGTCCCTGCAGGCCCTTGTCTCAAGCCCCTCTCCAGGTTTCCTGCAGCCCCTTTAGGCACTGGAGCTGCTCTAAGGTCTCCCCTTCAGGAGCCTTCTCTTCTCCAGGCTGAACCAGCCCAGCTCTAGCACCCTGTCTTCAAATACTCTCTAGCCTCAGCATATTGGCAGCTTACTGCTTCTTATAGCCACTCTAAGGGCAAATCCTCCACTTACAGGCACATATAATGACAACTTTACTTGCACTATTTTAGCAGCTGCCATGGTGAAGCCAAACTCAGTGCAAGTCATTGCAGGAGAAGAGGGAATTCCCTAGAGTAAAGGTGAAGAGTGAGGCACAGCTGCACCACTTTTTACTTGCAAAGCAAACATTACCTGACACAAGGAAGGGATCTAATGTAGATATAAGATGCTGTCAGTATTTACACTCTGTGTATACAAGCACAGGGTCTTGAAAAATGTAGGGCTGCACTCCTGAAGCTTTACTTATCATTTACCTGTAACTACCTAAACCTTAGACAGGAAAGATGCATATAAGAGCCATACAGATTAAGCAGATGCTGGTGCAGCCAGCAAACACTGCCCTCTGCAAAGTGTAGGCTTGCAATCACCACACAGACGTTCTAAATAAATCTCACTTTCTGGAGTTTAATTATACTTTCTTTTAGTTGCTTTCACTAGACTGTCAGAACTGGTGATTCATGGTTCTGGTTTTCCAGCATCTAACGAGAAACCAGTTTCTTCTTAACGTCCTGATTTAGCAAGCTGACCTGTGCAGGCAGATCCCCCATCCATGGAAATACATGGAGATATTTGTGTATGTCTGTGGTTATACAGAATTTTGGCTATAAATAACCGATGTTTTATTTCTTTTCAAATGGCCCACAAAGGGTGGAAATAAATTCAGCTCTGTTATTTCAGAAATGGCAAGTGTAAATTTAGCCTAATACCTCTGACAGAACCTCTCTGGTGCAAAGAAACTCCTGGCTGACACCTCCACCACAACTAAAAATGGTATGGAATTGGGATGGAAGTTAAAGGGGCTTCCTACACTGCAATGGGCTTGGTACTCTGGCCAGCTCAGGGAAAAGGGAAACAACATACTGGCCATTAAGTGACCTTTCCTTATAAATAACACTACCCTGAGTGCTTGTAGCACATACGCGAAGCTATGTATTTCCAGAAATACTTATCTGGCCTGATAACACCCTTGATTCCATTTCATTCCACAAACATTATGCAGCCCAGGAGAAAAAAACCACCAAAAACTAAACCAACATTTCCATTCACAACAGCATTTCCATTCCTTTTCCTGGTGAGGATTTAATAAAGCCTTGACACGGGTTGCTGCAGCCGAAAACACTGCTCAGAAGAGGAGTCTGTCATTTAATGTAAAGCCTCCTTCAAAGCAGATGAACTGCTGTCTGTGTCTCCAGCCAGGAAAAGAAACAGCAGCTTCCACCCGCGGATGGGCTGCTGTCTCATGCCGCAAATCATAGCTGGTAATACATTAAACTGCAGTGCAATGTGACAGAGCTGGTAACTGTGTACAAAACCTTGATGACACCTGTATGGGTGTAGATACAGAGTAACTCCTCTGAAAAGTTCATACATGGCCCTGGCAACAGCAATGTGCTGAGTGCACCGGGACAGGAACTCTAAATTCCACATCCCGTTCTTCCCATCACAGACTGAGTTCTATTCAAAGATCTCAAATCATAAGCAACTAGCTTTTAATGATGGGTAAATGGAAGTACACAGAACTGTGTCAATCCTGCACAATGACTTCCTTAGGAATAGAGGCCTTCTGGGTTTGTATTTCCACTTGAAGCGTGTTAAAGATCTTTATGGCCTTCTCTTTCAGCCATAATATCCCTTCCTGTATGGTACAGGAAGTTTTTAATGGAGTATTGCTATACAGAACCCCCATAATAACTATTTACCTGTAACTATGTACGCACAAAATAGCTAAAAGAGCTGCTCTTATAAGTCAGTATCTTCGGTTGGTCTCACCCAAGCTGCAGGTCCTCAAGCATCTTACAGAATCAGGCTTTGTGGTCCTGGATTGCAGCAGAACACAGGACAGGCTGAAGGCAGAACTCAAGTCTAGAGATTACGACAATGCTTATGGCCTCTCTGTAAAAACCAGTTACTCCTGATGTAAGGCTCTGTGACTTTACCAGGTTTATCATTAAAACCTCTTTAGAAGAGTTTGGGTTGGAGATTTTGGTCCCTAACAAGACGAAATGCCAGATGACATAGGGCTGAGAATTATCTGAAAGCAGATAAGAATTACTCCAAGAAGCACAACTTTGAAGTCCAGAAATTGAAACTAAAACCACAGTGATGTAGTCCATGGGGTCTTATTTAAATGTCTGCCAGCAGATCCATCCAAGAACCTACTGGCAACTCATTCAACTGAATTTGGCTTCAGGACTAAAATATTCATACAAGGTCATAACACCAAAAACAATCCTATTGGAAATACATATACATGCTGCTGCTCTTGTTCTCACAGCTTTTCAAATAAACTTAAATCAAACCTCTTGCTCATAGGAGGCTGCTGCAATTTCTACCAGCTTTGGCTAAGAATTACACAGTCCTTTGCAATTTCAGATTTTCATCTGCAGTCATAATGAAATGTCCAATTTCATGTGAAAGACAACACTCAATAAAACCTCATCATGTGCTCCTTCATGGATTCTCCCGCTTTCTTCTCTCACTACTGGAGCGTTCCTCCATTGTTAAGGGAAAAATGAAACCACAAGCAGAGCTTGGTTTTCCAAGATCAGGGAATAAGCAAATTGTCAATCTGAAACCAAATGCTGACATGCATAGAATGGTAGAATCATAGAAGAGTTAGGGTTGGAGAGGACCTTAGGCAGGGACACCTCACACTAAGCCATGTCACCCAAGGCATAGCCTGATGATGGAAGTATTTACTGTGTGATGACTACTTATGTGTTACCTCTACCACAAATACACTACAAGTATCAGAGCTCATGCTTGATGTGGTACTTGGGACACCACAAGCACAGAGCTAAGAATGAGCTCTCTGCAATCAATGTTGGGTACAGTACTAGGGAGATGCAGTTTTATGATTTTTGCATCCTGAGCTCAAATCTCCATCGAGTGCTTCAGTGGGCTGCTATGAAGACATAAGCTTGCCTGATGATACCTTTGGCTTGTCTCTGCTACGATATACTGCATGGTGTACACCTGCCTTATCAAATCTTATTAAACCACTTGCTTCTGCTACTGCTGAAGCTCATTGCAACCTCAGACTTGGGTGGCCTCCACAAGTCTGTCTCTTCACTTTTCCTGAGTCATTCTCCAGTTCCCTGAGAATACAGTTCTAGTGTATTGATCTACCAAAGCCATTACAAGACAGCAAAGAGACTGTTTAATAATACCCTTACTTCTCAAGCACAGTAATTCTCAGCTGTTTAAAGCAATGCTGTTGTGCAGCTGTTGTAAAGGGGTCACACAGGGCTCAGAAGTTGATTCATCTTTTTAAATACACACATCTCAAAGTAAAATAAAGCAGGGAACATCCTGACCACACACTGCTGCTGAAAGAACACAAAATTATCATGGAAAACTGAGGTCTGCATTTTTCAGGCAATGGTGCTGACTGGTGAGGAAACCAAATCAGCAGATGAGTGCAGAGGGCACTTTCCTGGTGTTCATGAGAAACGTGCAGAAGAGAAAAGGTTGTAGCAAGAAATGCAACCAGCTAGGAGCACCTATGTTTAGACTGTTTCCTACTTTAACACTTGTTTAAACTTCTCTTGGAATCTGACTACTCAAGGACAAATTCCATTCTTGGTGAACCACTGAGAAGTCTAGAGGAAACGGAGTTACTCTGCATTTGCAACTGGAGAAAGTCAATGCTCATTATGGTGTCTTTAGGCTCCTTACATACTTAGTAAGTGGGGAAGGTTCCTCTTTCAATTATTTTCTGATGGGTCATTAAGAAGCAAAATCACTCCAACAGGTAGCACAAAGGGATCCTCACACTTAACTTCTTTGCCCTGCTCTGTATGCAACTCATATGGAAAAGAAGTCAACTTCCACTAAAATTATTTAGTGCATTATTTAATGCACTCATTTCACTGACCTGCAAACACCTTCCAGATGTGTCCACAGGACAAAGTCACAAGATCAAGACAAAGAAAACTGTAGGAATAGGCAAAGGAGGAGGTTGTCAGGGGTGGTGGAGGGCTAGCACAGCAGATGTGGCCTTTTGACAACTCTGTTGATGTCAGAGCCCTGGGAGGTCTGGCAGGCTGCTGCTTTGGGGGGAAAGGTTTAGGTCAGTGATACAGCTGCTGATTCTGCAAGATGGAGAGGGGAGACCTGCTTCTCTCAGCAGGAACAGTTGCTTTCTCCATGCCTCCCAACTCCTTGGTGACAGCAAAGGCATCCAACAGTTCTCCAGGGCTCTTTCCTCAGATCACTGATCCAGTCCTCTCCTCCTCCTGATCCTCAGACAGATATTATCCTGGCACAAACAGCTTGGCCCTGATTACTTTCCAGCCCCTCAATCTTTAGAGAACAGATGGCTCTGGAAGAACTGATGTGTGAAGCTTTTTCATGCACTTTAATAACTGCCTTAATTATGCAGCATTGTCATTAGGACTGGACAGGTGATTTGGGTCTGAATAGCTGAACCACTTCATCATCCACGTCTAAGCTGGAACTTGTAATCTGGAAACTCCAGGAGCAGGGATGTTTGTTGAGCTAATGGCAAGTCCTGTGTGTCTGAAAGCTTACATTTTAAAAGAGCTTATATTCATGGCTGAGAAATCCCTAACAGTGACTTTCTGGTGGGCATTTCCCTGCAGCCTGGCTAAATACAGAGGAGAATGACAAAAAGGTGTGGTTGGGACACTGTATTTGTCCATTAGCATTTGAAGAACTATCAACCATAACTGACATATCTGTGTTTGCAGGCTCAGTTACAGGTGCAATGGTAAACCAAGAAAAACATAAAGAGTGTGAAACTGAGAAAATAAAACACAGGCTGCTGGATAGACAAGGATAAATGGAGTGATTAAAAAAAAAGAAGAATACGACAAAGCACAGAATTACCCCAGCCAAGTACTTACAAGTAGTAGGAGTAGGAATATGCATTTCTTCTAAATATCGTCAGCCAGTCAGATGAACAAAGTATCCAAAAGGAGAAAAAGAAGAAAAAACACAGAATTAGATTTATATGAACTCTGGGATTATCCCTTTCAATCTACAAAGAATTTGTGTTGCCTCTTGTACTGAGCTACTATTTCCCTACTCTTTTGTCAGCAGCTTTTACGTGGGTGAGGAATGGATACTGAAGCGGAGGCAGGGAAACACAGGCTGTGTTACTACTTCTGCTATTGACCTGTGTCACCCCAAGTAAATCCCCTCACCTCTTTAACTTTGCCATGTCAGTAACACAGGTCATGAGACTTACCTTTGCCTCTAAAGTGCTTTGAGATTTTTGGAGTGGGAAGAAATATGTGCAAGCTATTAATATAAATAACAAGAAACAGGAAAGTGACATGCAAGAACACCAGATTTCTGGAATACTTCGACAATGAACAAATTGTGTGATGATAAATCAAGCTTCATCCAACTCTAAAATGCAAATAGTTCATTAACAATTCAAGCTTCTCTACATATTTATAGATGAGCACTGGGTATGCATTAGCTTTTGCGTCATTGTGATTAAGCCTTTTCTATTACAGGTTTTCAACAATGCACTTCAGAACATTCTGATACGGTTTTGAGCAGTGCCACAAAATGAGCCTTAGCAATCAGTTAGAACCTAAGAGGTGATGTCTTCCCTCTTATAGCTGGAAAAGGGCTTCTCTGAAAAGGCTGGTTCACAACAGATCTAGCCCATGTTATCAGATTCAGAGCTGAGAAAGCAGCAGCAATGATCAAGACAGGGGAAACAATATTGAAACACAAGCTTCAACCACTTGCACAGCTTTAAAATTCCATCCTTGAAGACACTACAAATATCAGAAAGTACAAATGCAGGGTTCAAGTGTTCACTTTATGGATGCTCTGAACACAGCTTCCATAAGCACACACGGAATCCAGATTCCGCACAATTACTCTGTGCACAATTGCCCTCCTTGCTATGCATACACCAGGTAAAGGATGGTGACTTAAGAGACGTTCAAGAGGATTACTCTGAAATAACATGTTTTTCCGGTGATGACCCCTACTATAAACCTGAAATTCTGACCAGATTCGTGCTATGTAGCAATTTATTCAAATGACACCAATTCCAAGGTCCATCTGAATGAATGTTTAACATAATGCTATTATCTCCTGACACCCATGCCATAGCAATGCATCAGGTAAGGTGCAGTGCTTGCCACTTGAGCTTCACTCACTGGGAAATTCCAAGTTCCTCTGAACCTCTAAACGAAGGGAAAAGTCAACAGGAGGTGGAAAAGGAAGAGGCCACACAGCTGAAGCCTCTACACCCCCCAACTGATCCCATTAAACCAACCCCTCTGATAGTCAATACCAGGTTTCACTCACAACGATCAACCATAATTACTCTGCTGAACATCTTGCTGTACTTTCTGCTTGCCTCATGTCCTGGCCAGCAGACACATGTGATCACACAGACTCTTAGTTCTCATTAAAAAGCTGTGTAAATCCCTCAAGGCTGCAGAGGAAAGCTCAGGAAGACTTATTGCAGAAGGACAGAAAATAAAGGAAGACAAACAAAAGGAGGATTGTATTTTGGAATTGGATAGGATTTTTTGGCCCAAATTCTCCCCCAAAATGCAACCTAAAATAAGGAATTCCTAAGGAATATTTCTAAACTAACTTAAAACTGTGAGAGTTACGGATCACTAAAAACATGCCCTGAACTTAAAATGTGTCACACAAATTGCAAACCTGCCTGTCAGCCACTTGAAATAGGGACACAGAAGGGACACGGATCACTGAATGTGCAAATGCCCGTTGTTAACTCTATCCTACAGCTTGGGTATGTTCTGCTCAAGAGGCTTTGGGGTTTTATTTAATGAGTTTAAGGTAACAACCTAAATCCTAATGCAGAATAAGGAGCTGGATTTTCATAGAAGGAACTAATCCTAGACCCTACATAGCCCCAAATCTCCTTTTTTGCTACCAACAGCAGTTTAAAGAACTTATATACAGTGCACCCATGACAGGCTGTCTGATCCTATTTATTCAGTCTTATCCTTAAAGGGGTCAGTAGAGGCTTTGTCTGCTCAACGCACCAGCCTGAAAAGTGTCACACTCCTCACTCCAGGGAAATGCAAGTCAGGATGACACGAGTGTTCACACTGCCCGGCTGAAATCAGAACTGACCAAAATCTAATCCTTTGGGGGGGGCAGAGTCAAAGGGTATTTTCTCCAGAAAAGGAGTTTACAAATGTCTTGTTTCTCTTATTTCAGCTTGCTTTCACTAACTGGCCCTGTATTCTCTAACTGGTCCTGTCTTCCCAATTGCTCTGAGAGGCTGTGGCTGCCCTGTCCCTGGCAGTGTTCAAGGCCAGGTTGGAAACAGGGGCTTGAAGCAATCTGCCCTAGTGGAAGGTGTCCCTGCCCATGGCAGGGGGCTGGAACTGGACGCGCTTTAAAGTCCCTTTCAAACCAAACCAGGCTGGGATTCTATTGCATAAAAGTATTTAATACTGAGAACAAACAAGCTACTTAGAGAAACAGCAATGTTTTGATACAATAAAATGAGCTATTTCTAGGTATGTACCTATTAATGAAAGAAAGTGGTGCTGCGTTTATGTGGGCAAATACACCCATGTGGGCACTCATTCACTGTACCACTTGTACATTAACAGGCTAAACGATGTAGTTACAATTAGTGTCCATCTATGTATGATGACAGCAGAACTGCAAACAAGCAGCCAGTGCCCTCCCAAACCCAAGAAAACAAATGTTAATGGTTTTGATTTTAGAGACTGTAAGGCAGTCATATTTACAACAGAACTTTCTATATACACAATTTTTTCACAGATACACACATACAGAAACTTTAGCTCACTTCAAGAGACTAAAACTTGTAGATAACAAAAGTAAAGTCAAACCAAATTGTCCACTGCGTAAACATTCTGCCTGGCTTAATTTATCTTCACAGATCTGACTAAAACCTATAAAACACTGGCAGCCCCCAGAAATTTGCAAGTCATATCGTCTATTGAAACTATGAGCAACTGGGCAACACTTGCTCACGTCTTGCATATGAAGGCTCATATTATTTGGTGCATCTCACAGAAACAAAAAGCAGTTTCTGATCTGTCTAATACTAATCTCAAACCAGTACCTGCCTTCTCTTAGTGCTCTGTCTCTCCTAGTCTCTTTCCCTCCTCTGTTCTTTGCCCTGATTAACAAAAGGCTTCATTCAGGAAATCCACTACTGTGCCTATTACCCATGATCTATGATGTCCTAGCCCATGAACAAATGTCACTGTGATATTTTCCAGCTCCATTTCAAGAAAAGGCCTCACGTTTGTCTAATTACATTGTTTTTCTTTACTGTTGCCTGCCTTAGCTTTGGTGAACTGAGCAGGGAACTCTTTTTAAAATAAGGTTAATGCAAAAATCGATTGCAAGAGCTTAAGCTCCTGATGTTTCTGTTTGTAAAACAGAACGAGAACTTTACTGTGAAACTGCTCTCTCAGACAAGTGTGAGCTTTCAGCTGTGCTCCTCTGAAATTCAAACCAACCTGTGGTCCAGAGGCCTTTCATTTTTATAAACGCTGCTCCCAATCTGCATTAGTTTACAAATGAAATGAGCCTGACAGGCTTGAGTTCATCTTCAGGGACCACTTGTCCATATGCAGCTCCAAGACTCAACTGGATGCAAGTGGTGGTGCCCGTTCAAGGGAGACCTGGAGTGGAGTGATGGGCTGGTTTGTCAGTGATGCTGGAGGTGTGCTCACAGAGCCAAGGACAGCAATGCTCCCCAACCTTCCTGCACTCATAGCTTCCAAATAGGAAAAGATTTTAAAGTCGATGAGCCAGATTATTTCTTATAATAGTCTGTATTCCAGTGGGTAACCTTGCAAACGATAGCAAACAGGCCAAGAGCAATACAGGCTGCAGGGATTTTGCATTCTGGCAAGGAGCAACCCAGAGCAAAAGGTAATTTTTCAGCTCTGGAAGGAAAAAGGTGAGAATTTATATTTCTAATACTCCCAACTCACTCACTTTCTTAATTTAATTTTGAAGCAAGATGTCTCAGGTTAACAGGGCCTGTGGCAAAGCTAGATATAATAACATTCTGTCCATGGGACATCACACCCAAACTGACTAAACATTGAAGCTTTTGGGACCTGGCTGGTTCCATAGAAGAACATGTGTATAGCGGGGGGGGGGGGGTGGTGGTGGTGGTGGTGGTGTGTGTGTGCAGCTTCAGTCAACTCTAGCATGGGAATTTTTATATCAAGCTGTCCTGGTTTTGGCTGGAATAGAATTAATTCTCTTCCCAGTACCTGGTGCAGTGCTGTGTTTTGGCTTTAGTCTGAGAATGATGCCTGTAACACACTGATGGTTTAGTTGTTGCTCAGTAGCACCTACCCTGATCAAGGACTAGATGAGCTTTAAGATCCTCTGCAACCCATACCAGTCCAGGATTCTATGACTTTATGAATACTTCTTAAAGTACGTTGCCTCATAAGAGTATCCTTACCTCTCTGACTTAGCATTTGGCAGGTTACATCACAGAAAAACTGTCCTGGTCATCATGAAAAGTCACTGTTTGTTTTCTGCCCAGCAATATACATGATTTATAATAATAATACATGATGGGACAGAAATGCTATCAACTTTTAATAGCTTGTGAAATACACCAGATGTGGCATTGCTCTAATGGCTTTCCTTCAATTTTTCATTTTTCAATCTGAAAACAAAAGCTTTTCTTGAAGAGCTTTTAGGAAGGTAAGAGGACTGGATGAGGGCTGGGCATTAACCAAACCAGAAACCCAGCCCCACGTTTGCTGAAACCCTTTCTCTGGTTTTCATTAGAGGCATCTGATTTTTTTATGCTTATGAACTGAAAAACTCCCAGGGGACTGGAATCAGAGACATCTGTTAACGCAGCCTGGGTTAACACTGAACAAAGTGCAGCAGACATGAGAACAAAACTCATATGCATTTGCCCACAAAACGGGGAACCTTTAAACACACACACAAAATTGGATTAAAAATCTAGCTCTCCCTCACCTTCAGTTAATTCAATGTAATTCACTGTAGTCAGTCCATATGCCACCTGTTTTGTAGATGACATAATTTGGAAAGGTTACTCAAAGGACATCCAGTTCCATGTCCTGCTCAAACCAGTTTCACCTGCAGCAAGTACCTCAGGGCCTTGGCCACGTGTTTTAATTTCACCAAGGATGGAGATTCTCCAACTCCACACCACTTTGTTAACTCTCCTCTGGACCGGCTCTAATACATCATTGCCTTTCATGTACTGAGGATCCCTTATGGACATCCTGCGCCTACTTCAACCTCACCAGTGGCAAACAGAAGGCAATAATCACTTGCCCCACCCTACTAGCTACACTCCTGCTAACACTGCCCTGAATACAGCTGAACACTGCCCTGGATACAGTCAGCAATGCGCTGCAAGGGGCACATTGCTGACTGTTGTTCAACTTGTCTGCCAAGATCTCCAGGTCCTTCTATGACTGTACTGATGCATGGAGTTACCCCATCCCAGATGCAGTACTTTGTCTTTGCTAAACTCCACAAGGTTCCCATCAGTCCATTTCTCCAACTTCTCAATGTCCTTCTGAATAGCAGCCCTGCACTCCAGCATCTGTAGCATGAAGTTATCCATTTGCATGTGCTCTGGGTTATGACAGAGGAGATCCTATCTAGATTTAACTGCTACTCTTATTTCTGGGAAAGGGGTGACTGTTGGAGATCTCAAAGAAACACAGCTTTGCTTTGAAAAGCTTCAATCCCTGCAACAGATCAAGTCAAATCATCAAGGCTCTCACACATAATGTTACCTGTACCCTAGGGGAGGGTCCACCAGGCCACCTAGCTCCTGCTTCACTTAGAATCAAATTACTGTTGAGAAGTAGGCTTCACTTCAGAAATGAGACTGGTGAAATATATACAAAATGCACCCTTTTCTCAGGAAAACCTCCTGCCTAAGTGGTTTGCTGAATCAGTGTATTACACTGTAAATGTGGAGCTCTTCACATAGTAGCAACTACAATAGTCTACTTCAAAGTGTAAGTACAAATGATCCAAAGAAAATCACATGGAATGCACTGTCTGAACAAATTTCATTACCATTCATGATCTTTCTAAGTTTCATTCCCCTGTAAACTAAAACTAACTCTTGGAAAGATTCTAAACCTCAGCAAGATACAATATTCCAGCTGAAAACGGGTTGCAAAGCAATTGCTGTGTGAAAGAATACCTCATCAGGACTCACTTGGGAGAAAGACTCTTGGTCACATTATCTTAAGACATCATTTTCCTTGGCTGTGAATGAAGAATTCTTGCCTTCTCCTGGACCACTGCAGTGCTACCTGCACAGGCTGATGTGCCCACTTCCATTGCCTCACTGTCACTTTGTACTTCTCCATGCTTTTTCACGAGCTATTCCTCCTCATTCATTAGCAATTCATTATGATTAACACTTTGTAGTAACAAGCATTCTTTCGTTGCTCATACAGTATGTGCCAGAACAGGCATCTCTCCTGGGACTTTCTCTTAGTGGTAGTAAACAGTGATCAACTGCTGCCCTCTGTAACCCAAACTGAATGTTTTACCTCTACCAAATCTAGTCTCCTTTTCTAGTAACAACACAGTAGCCAGAAGGCCCAAGATGGAAGCAAAGCAGAAACTTACCTTCTCTTGATGGTAAGCATTGCTCCCAGGAGGATAATAACAAACATCAGCAGACCAGCTATAACTCCAGCCATTTTCACCGTGCTGTCAACTTGTTTTTCTGGTTCCACTGCGTTGGAATTCTGGGTGGAAGCTCCTTAAAAGGTGGAGGAAGAAGAAGGAGGAGATAAAAAGAGAATTTGTAGAAAAGTCATGCAATGACCCATTTTACATATTCATTTGAAAGCCTAACAGCATATTTGCAATCGAACTGCCATAGACAATTGTCCAGCTAACCCAATCTGCCTTTGTAAGAGCTGATGACAAAAAATTCAGAGCAGTAATAGGGTGCAAAATCCCAGTGTAACGCAACTGGCTGTAATATTTTACTACATTATACTGTAATGCAGAATTTACTTGTCTGAAGCACTCAGCATACACCCAGAAGCAGGAGAATTAATAGCAGTTATCATTTTCATCTCAAACAGCTTAAGTGGAGGTGCAATCCTTACTCATTGAAATAATGATGTAGAAGTTTGCAGTAACATATCCCATAGTACTACTCACAGAACCTTTTATTTTCTTCTAAAATCAGAACCCATTTGTATTTCTTACTATACCAGAGGCCTGGCTTTTGTAAATGCATGGTTATAATTCTGCATGTAACCAGCATTAAGCCAATGCACAGAGCACCCTCCACATCAGTTCATGTATTCCAGGCAGGAGGTCTGCAGCCCAGGCAAGAAAACATCATTTCTATTCGAAATTTTGGGGTCTTTTTTTCAGAGTAAAGCCTACACACCTAAAAATAAAACATATTTAGGTACAGAGCTTACGCAGCACTTTCTCCTTTTCTTCTTTGTCTGACTTCAAGGGTCTTTTGCTCCTGAAACAACTGAGGACCTTGCAGAATGCTGCCTTCTTCCCCGTTGCTAAGACTACTTCTGTAGTGCTGATTATATACCTGAACTCTGCTGACTTCACTACTTGCTGCAGTTTTTTCAGATATAGCTTGAACTAGTGAGCTTCGTTTAGAAAGCCCCACAAGATACAAGTTGTGCCTCTTCTAAAGACTAAATAAGCCTATCTTTATCATATTCCTGAGATACTTAGCTACTCCTAAAAACATCACCACTGCATTTGCTGAAGTTAAATGAATTCCCGTTACACCAAGTCACAATCTTGGGCTTCACCTTTGCTGTTGGAGTCAGCCAAGTCTTTGTCTACAGCTTAAACGCAGTAGAAAAAAGGAATCAAAGGTGAGACTAAAGTGCTGTCATCAGAAGACTGTAATACTTTGCTCTTTTAACAGTTCAGTGCTGCTGACCTTCAGGAAAAGCTGAATCACTTCTGTTCATGAACTCAGTGCTTGGAGAGATAATACTCAATCAGGTCCTTACACTGGTCAGACAGTAGAAAGCCTCACTGGGTTATTCTTTTGCCCATTTGCCACATGTTAAACTGCATAAGCTTTAAAAGATCTCTGTCTGCACAGATGAGTCCCACTGGTGACCACGCTAAAATCATACAACCAAATGTAGGGCTTTCTGGTACGTTCTGAACAGGGCCTTAGCTGATGGACTTCCAGGGATGAGGAGCTGAACTGCAATGAAGTGTTGTATTCTCTTGCCATCATACCTTGAAGAGTACACAGAAAACAAGGCCACAATAGATGCAAAACAAAAACCTCACCACATGCAGTGATAAAAGTGAGACTCCATTTTTCCTACAGCTAAGCTGTTAATCTGGTTTGCACAGCAAAGCACACTATTTACCAAGCAAAAATGATGGCTGTTGGAAACACATGCAATTTTCAGCTTTTTTTTTTTTTTATCCCTGCTCTGCTGTGCCTGATTTTCCCATTCAGTTAAGGGTTCACTGGTAACTTCTGTGCTCACGTGTCTGAAATGCATTAATGGGACTCTGGAGTGTGAAAATAAAATATCAGTTCCATATTACCATCTTTATTTGACAACATCTCTTACAGTCTTGGAGCAAATCTGTCCAAGAGGTGAGCATCATACAGGCCAACACTATCATGCAACGAAGTAAATGACATAGGTACATTTTTTTCCCTTGAAAAAGGCTAAAACTCTATCAAAGTGAAATTCAGAAGTACTCAAATTATCCTTCACTTGAGATGCAGTTCCTCCTGTGACCGTAAATAATAGACACTGGAGAATGGTTTTCTGCCACTCACAGCACAGTCAGTTTCTGTACCATCCAAATACCCTCCTGAATTGTGAGCCACATTAAAAGCACCCATAAGAATGTCCTGTCAACTCCATCCTCTAATCTACTTGATTGGGTTGATTTTGCCAGGCTGTTGCGTGTTACTACAGGCAATGTGTGCTCAGTGTACTTCTATTTGATAGTTCTCATCCTATTGTACACTACTGCAGTCCTAGAAGGAGAATAAAGGCTTGTTATCCATCCTGACACCTACACACTGGGGTGACTGATTCCCTTGAATCTTCTATGTAACTCCTTCTATCTGTCTTGGCAAAGGCCAACAGTTCCTTTAGGCTACTAATCCAACCATTTGTAAGTTGTCTCAGCTAATAGCACTTAGGAATTGATAATATGACAGTGTCAGTAAACTGGATTCTTAAAGCTCTGCAGTGAAGTGTTACTGCAAAAGTCCATTGTTTTCCTGCAATTCTGGTGTATTTTCCTTGTAGATGCCATATCTACTATGGTACTCCCACCTGCACCACCACCAACTGTAGGTAAGAACACTTCTATTCTGGCAGGGGGAGGTCTGTGAGCTACTGCTGTACTTGCAGCAGATCACTTCTGCTGCTCCTGAATGTAATGCTTGTTTAGCATTCAGTTTTGCTTCTCTCCCTTATGGACATGTAAAGGTCTGAAATCCTCTGAGCACAGAAGCCCATAAAACTGTTCAGATGGCCATTCCATACAAGTATCTTTACATACACTTGGAAAGCTCTGCACTACTGTACTTGAGGGGCACCCTGTTCTTTCTGAAAAATGTTTATATTTAAACTGCTGAAATTAAAAGGGAAAGAAAATAAACTATAACCATATTTTCTAGTGGATACTTCCACCAGATTTCCTGGAATAAATTGTTCCTCATAACTGAAGCTGGATACTGGAATAACAGGATATAGAGCAGGTCACCACTGTTATTAATGTGTGTATTTCAGTGGCACCCAAAGCCCCCACTAGGGTCAGCACCCCATTACACTGTGCTAACATGAAGTTACAATTTCCTGCCCTAAGCCTACTGTCTTAATAAGGGAGGCAAATGATAGCAGACAGTGCCAGAGAAGTGAAGACTGCAGGTGCCCTGACTTCCTATCTGTGCATTATCCACTGTACCAGGCAACTGCTTTCAGAGATACACATTTATGAGCTGTATGAAATGCTCTGTCCCAGAAGCCTGACCAGTGGCATCAATCTGACTCACAGGCATCAGCATTCACCCAGCACCCCATGTTACATCCATAGCTATTTCAGGATTTCCTAACAATCTATTCCCTTTGCTTCTTAAATCCCTTTCAAAATTCCCAGAGACACAGCATCTTGCAGCAAGACAGGGCATGTTAGAAACAGCACGTTCATGGGAGATGCTGCAGAGGTGCAAAGCGAGCAGGGGCAAGTGGGTTATTTCCTGGAGTCATCCACTTCATCAGCCCATGAGAAGTCAGGCTGATGGATCATCAAGCACTGATGGTGCTGGTGATGGTTTGATTAAGGTCTAATCCAGCTATCCTGACTGGCTCAGTGAAGCATAGCTACTGGAAGCATGGTTTCATAAGGAATCATGGAGCCAGTTCCTGATGGCTTTCAGTCTTTTAAATTCCCCCTTGCTTCAGACCATGCTTAAGCTGGCCCTGCAACGGCTGATAACATAAGGACAAGAATTCTGAGGTTCAAACCTGATTTCAGTACAGAGGGGCTGTTCCTATTCCAGAGTTAAATCTTTCAGAACATTTCTTCAGCTGAAAGCGTTTTGTCCCCAGGGGAGAAGAGACGAGGTGTTCAACTACTCCGAGCTAGAAGATGGTTTGCAAGTGATTCCAACAGCTTAAATCTAAATCCAAGCTTTTGCCAGTCATAACTAAAGAAGAATATGCACTCAAAATTCTAAGAAAATGAAAAATCATCCACTTACCAGTGAGCATTCATAGAGTGCGACATACTCCTAGAGCAATATTAGTATGTACTTGAAATCCTCTTAATGCTCATGCAAGGTAACTAATAAGTTATGTTATTTACTTTATTGATCTGGAAAGATTAAGGATATGCCTTTCGCATCAGAGGCACTCAACAGCAGACCTGAGGACTGATGTTTCTAGACTGACACCCTGTGACAATTCCATCAGACCGTGATGTTGTTCCGTGGGGAATGACACTGGCAGCTAACTGAAAGGTACCGCAGGAATCCTTCACCCAGCAATTTATGCACAGAAGTATTGTCTGAAAACAATAAGGGACCAGACATAATGTGACCTTCTCTGAGGAGGCAGCACACTGAAGGTCACCCGGGAAAGAATGACTATTGAGTACATGTAGCTAAGCAGGAGTGATAATACACACAGATACTTTTACAAAACCTATTTCACAATAATTTGAAATGCTCTTTATTTAATGAGCAATTATAATATTGCATTAAACAAATGTAACTAGCAGGAAGAAGAATTCAAAAGAGCCATGGGCAGGAGGAAAAGATGGGTTTTGTGTGAGATTTCTGACTGGCATGAAGAACAAAGTCCTGCAACGGAAGTGGTACCACAGCCATCAGTAGCTGCGTCACTGCACAGGAGACAGAAGCATCCGACAGGAGAAGAGAAAGAAAAGAGAAAGGCTCTATTGGAAGCAAAAGGCAGTGTAAATGTAGATGAGGGAGGGACAAACGAGAGAAGCAACACAATAATGGGAGCTTCAGCCATGGCCAGATGACAGGGAAGACCCAGACAGGAGAAAAGTCAGTCTGGCAAAGCCTAGGTCTGGTTTCCAATTTCTAACACCTAAAAATGTAGCTTCTTTAGATAGTTATAAAAAAAATAAAAGAAACAAAAACCAATCAGAAAAATTACTTCAAAGTGTTATTTAACCCAGAAAAATTAATGAAAAAAAATGGGTTCAAAGTCATTACAAGCTAAAATGAGCTGCTCAATCAGAGTAATTTCT